GTTCTTCTACACACCTAGAATCATAGAATCGAAGAATATCCCAACTTGGAAGGGACCCACGAGGATCACTGGGTCCAATTCCAAGTCGATTGATTGTGTTCCTGACAGTGCTTCTGGGCAGAGACTGTCTCAATTAAAATTAAAAAAAAAACAGATATGTGCATTTCCTTTTTTGCTTGATTTGAGCACAGGATCCCCATCTGGATCAGGGCTGGGTAGCAAGGAGTGTCCTGGTGCTCTGAGTGCAGCCGTGCGTTGCACAGGAGATGATGGCAGGATGTGAGGGTGCTTCTGTTTGTTACATCCACTCAAACACAGCAAACCCAAGTGCTCCAAGTCCTCTATTCACCTTGTATGATAATTTCCTTCCAGGATGATCGCATGCGTATTTCTCTTGTGTTTGCACTGTCTGCTCTGTCTATGGACAGGCCTTCCACCGCAGAGGAAGTTCACATTCAAGTGTAATGAAGCCTTTTAAAGATAGCATCTCATAAAAACATCCATAAAAATGGATATTTCACTTCCAGGACTGTGACCAAATTGCAAACTTTACTAACTTTAAGTCACATCAGCACTCCCTTGAGCTTCATGCTTTCATCTGGGTGAAGATGGATATTTAATATTCGGCATGGAAGCAGTGAACTGCCCAGCAGTGTGTTTGTTTGTAGCAGGGAGCCCTATCCTGGTGATGGGGTTTCCATGCAGAGCCAACACGTCCATTTGTAACGAGGTTTGAGATGGAAGATATTTATAGACAACAAGTTCTTACGGACAGATCCAGCTTCCAAGACTGGGAACAGGATTGCAGACTCAAACACTGAATAGCTCAACCTCAAAATGGCTGAGCGTGCTTCCTCCCTCCCCTCACCCCCCAAAACACCCCCTTGGGTGTGTTCCAAATGCAATATCCCCAGCTGTGCCAGCTGCAGATCGGGTGACGTGTGCTTCCCCTCCACCCAGCTGCCTTGGGCCCCAAGAGCCATCACTGACAAAGGTGTATTTCCTTTCAGTTGTCTCCCAGATTTACTGCCTCGAAGCTGTGCCGCCTTCTGATCAAAAGTGGGTGGATAAATCTGCTCCATGTTCTGCAGCCACTGCCTGCTGCCCTGAAGGAAGCGGGTCATGTCTCTAAGGAAGCGTTTCAACCTGCAGCCATGGAGTACAAACAGCATCAATCACTCCTTTCAAACAAAGGTTGGGTGAGTTTGGGTGGTCTCCCCTCTCACCAGGAGAGGAGCTGGTAGCCTTTAGCATGAAAGCAGCCCTAGAACCTCAGCAGTCTCACAATCAGTCAAGTTAGGGTCAAGATTAAATTACTCCAGGAAAAAGAAAAAAAAAAAACCCCACGCACAAAGTAAAAGTCCCCGCAGTCAGTTCTCAGCCTGTCTGACCTCTCTTAAAAGCACTGAGCATGCTTTCAAGGAGCTGGCTTGAAGAATGAAGCACTTCCGTGCTGTGAATCAGATAAGAGTTGTGCTGATAAAAGAAAAAAACTTGCCACGACTGCTGACAGCCTAAGTGAGCGATAGGAGGAACCTCTGGGGCCTCTGTGCAGTGTACTGGCTTTGCTCTCCAGTCAGATATGATTTGAATATCTTTATTTGGCATACAGGACAGGAAGGGAAGCAAAGATATAGAAACCTGCTCAGCCTGACTGGCACAGTACTGAGGCACGGTGACTGCTTGCTGTCTCTCAAGCGAAGGGGATTCAGTCTGTTTAAGAAACTTCCAAGAGTCCTCTTGTTCCAACCTTTGTATCTAACACTTCTATTGTTCCTAGCAATAAAAGCAAAATGCTCCTCTTCAAACAAGACTTACACAGAATTTTTTCCATATTGGGTTCTACCTCACAAACACTGATTACGCCCACTGATGTTTCATGAGACAAGCAAGCCAGACTTGCACCTTGATTTGAAAATACTCTGAGATGATAAAAGAAAACTTTTTAATCTTTCATTCCTTTGCTGCGAAGCTTGAAAGCACAGAAAAACCACCTGGTTTTGTTGGGTTTTGTTTGTTTAGTTGTTGTGGGTTTTTGGTGTGCAGGCAGCTCAATGACTCCATGTTCTTCCTCGTTAGCCCAGCACAGCCTCTATTGTGAGTGATGCAGATGTCATCATAGGAAAGCAAGTGAACAGACTTTGTTTTGTTCTTCAAAACGACTCTGAAAAAGAAAGGTTGGTGGCAAAGGGAATTGGGTTCTTCGCTTCTTGAACTGCTGCTGTGGCACCAGGGGACAGGGTTTGGCAGTAACCAAGCAGAGAAACAGGCAGGAGCAAGGAAAGGAGCCTGCTGGGCTCAAGGGGTAGAGTAGGAATGCACAGCATGCAGTTTCTGTTTCACTTGGGTTTGGGGAGCATCAGAAATTTTGCTCAAAGCAGCGTTCCATCCTTCCCTCTGGATGGGCCCAGGAGGGCCTTCCTGACCCATCTGGTCCTTCCAATGCCAGCAAACTTGCTTTTCTTCTGCTCTGTGAGAGCTTGTGTGGTTTAGCTGATGGTTAAAGCTCTGGTTTGTGCTAGGCTGGTTTATGTCTTTATAAAGGTGGAATAGTAAATGTGAGCAGGGTGAATGGGGCCAATTGCAGTCAGCAAGAAAACTGCAAACCCTGAGTCTACTGCAGAGACCTGGTTATCAAAGAGACTTTGACACGCGTTATGCTTCACCCAAAGCCCGTATGCCATTCATGTGCCACTCTCAACAATACCTGAAAAGTCATGGCAATCAGATGAGGTCCCTGGTGAGTAGAAAAAAGGCAACACCGCACCCATTTTTATAAAGGATAAAAAAGGTGATCCCAGGAACTACTGACCTGCCAGTCTCACCTCTGTGCTGGGAAAGATCATGGAGCAGATCCTCCTGCAAGGTATGGTGAGGGAGGCAGGGAGGTGATACGTGAGAACCAGCATGGCTTCACCAAGGGCAAGGAGGTAGCATCTATTTTATTTGAGAATTTCGGTCTGAAGTCTTGTGTTTGAAGCTTGCCCTTAGTGTCACCCTGTCTGAAATAATTTCTGTGGCTTCAGTTTATTGTTTCCATTGGCTCATGGTTTTATTTTACATAGATACCTTCTGCAAAGCAACAGTCAGCTTGCTTGGCTGAGTCTAAGTGTTGTTCTCAACTCAGGAATTTCTTTTGTACTCTAAAAACCTGGCTTCAGCCTGTTGCCAGGATCACACACCTCTCCGAGCAGGAAGATCTGTGCAGCATCTGGTGACAGTGTCTATGTTGATTTAAAGCTTTTTCTTCTGAGCATGCTGAGATTTTTCCTGGAGCAGATATAGAATTATTTAACAGTCTCTCTGGCCTCCTTCCAACACTGAGCCCAGCTTCTGAGGCTGTCCTTGGCCTGCTCTCCCCCAGTCAGACCTTGTTCCCCAGCCCGAGCTCCCATGCCCAGTACCAGTTCAGGTTTTGTTGGTAGCTGTGGTTCTATCAGCTCTTTTTCATGATCTTCCTGCAGTCTGCTGCCTTCTTGGCAAAGGATACTGGAGCTTTTCTGCCTGCCAGCTCTCCAAGATGGTGGCCCATCACAACCATTTTCCTTCCTCTATCCCACACCAGCCCCTCACCTTACCCATAACCTAACCCACCTGGCCCCTTGGAACTCTCAATGTTTCTATGGTTACAGTGCTTGGCACTTCAATATTGATGTGCTAATTAATAATGAAAGCCATAATTGTGGTTGGGTTTAAAATTTTAATTAGCTGAGGAGTCAGCAGAGAGGCGGTCCATAAATACCAGGGGGTGCTATTCATATACATGCATATAGACGTTGCATGAATATGCAGAAGTACCTTTCCCTCTAGCAGTAACACTGCACAAGAAAAGTATCCTGTGTGAGGATGGCTGGGGCTGTTAGAGTGTGATGGGATGCTGAGAGATGTTAGGTGGGACTGCTCAAAGTTCCGTGGGAAAAAAAGAAGGTTTTTATTTCTCAGCTTAAAAATGGAAGAGAAAACTCCTGGAAGCGAATATATTTCCTGTCTCAGTCAGTATTTTTGCAGTCTTAAATGAGTGGGAGGTTTTGCCTTCATGTGTATGAGGGTCCAGAGGAGGGCCACAAAGATGATCAGGGGACTGGAGCACCTCCCATGTGAGGGCAGGCTGAGGGAGCAGGGCTTGTTCAGCCTGGAGAAAAGAAGGCTGTGGGGTGACCTCATTGCAGCCTTTCAGTACCTAAAGGGAGCCTACAGACATCAGGAGAGTCAACTCTTGGAAAGGGTAGATAACAGCAGGACAAGGGGAAATGGTTTGAAGTTGAGGGAGGGAAGATTGAGGTTGGATGTCTCTCTTTACAGAGAGAGTGGTGAGGTGCTGGAACAGCTGCCCAGAGAGGCTGTGGATGCCCCGTCCATCCCTGGAGGTGTTCAAGGCCAGGTTGGATGGGGCCCTGGGCAGCCTGGGCTGGATTAAATGTGGAGGTTGGTGGCCCTGCATGTGGCAGAGGGGCTGTCCCACCAGCTGCAGCCTCAGAGCCAGCTGCCCCAAGGAGATGAGGGTGCTGAGCCCACGGCTGCTCCCGGAGGGTGCAGGGGAGCCTTTCTGCCCTGCGCGTGCCGCTGCTGTGGCGGATTTCTCTTAACCCTCCCGCGCTGATTTGCACGATCAGAAACGTGTAAACGCAGGGGGAAAATGATATCGCTTTTGTAGCGGCGTTGGCACTGTAAGTGCTGTAGGGAGCTGCTGTTAAGGCTGTAATGCAATGCAGCCGTCCTGTATCCCCAGTGACAGGGCGCAGCGCCGTGTTTAGGATGCCGGGCTGTCCATGCGCACACAACCTGCGCACCGCAGGGCCGGCCGCGGGCACGACGGGGTTAATGCCCGCGTTCCCCTCCTCCCGCCCCATTGGCCGGCCGCAGGTGGCGCTCCTTCCGCCGTCCCTATTGGCGGAGGGAGCACAGGGGCGCTCGGCGCCGACCAATGGGAAGGCGCGCCGCGTCCCGTCGGCGAGGCGACGGCAGCTTCTCATTGGGCAGCGATCGGGGCGGGCCCGGGGCGGCGGGCGGCACCATGTTGGGGAGCTGGCGGCGGCGCCGGCCGGGCTATGGAGCGGGGCACGGTGAGAGCGGGGACAGGCGGCGGCGAGCAGCGGGCGGCGGGAGGGAAGGTCGATCCGCTCCGCGTCTGCCTGCGTGGCTCAGGCGGGGTGGAGGCACTTAAGGGCGGGCACGCCCCTACCCGGGGCGCTGCGGGGTTCGGCGGAGCGCCTCCGGCCTGGGAGCCCTCAGGGTGCGTGCGTGTGTGTGTGTGAGAGAGGGGGTGAGTGGCGGGAAGGCGGAGCCGTTAGGACCGTTACGGCCGTTGGGCAGCGGCGCGCGCCGCGGCTGAGGGAGCAGCACCTGCACGGCCTCGAGCTGCCATGCGGGCGCGCAGCGCCTTCAGAGGGCAGCCTCGCAGCCCTGCCGACCGCACCGCGCTCGTTGGAAGCTGGAGGTTGAGTTCTCCTTGTGTACAGAAAAGTTCACGCTTAGGTTGTTTTGCCTGTGGGCAAGCGGGGATTTTTTTTACGGAAAAAGAGAGGCAGGTGGAGCTTTGTGTGCTGGATTACCACCACGGCACAGCGTGCTGAGAGTGGAAGTGACAGAATGAGGTGAAAAATCGAAGCGAAGGTCTGAGGGCCTTTACGTAGGAGGTTCCAAAAGGCTTAGGAAAAGAAAACGTGTGTTTGAACAGGAATTAGAGCGTGCGTAACCGTGTTTGTTTCAGGTTGTCGTCTGCTCAAACCTTGGTGTTTTGTGTCCTGCTGCCAACAGAGCAAACTTCTGCACTGCTCGGACCTTTTCCGTCATTTGGAGCACGTTGCAGAGATGCCTCAGAGATGGCTGCCCAGCTGGCTGTGCTCTGCTAGCTTTGGAGCCTGCTGGCCATGCCCGTGGGCTTGCTGCCGTTTGTAGCCTGTAGCATGCTTCAGTTCAGGTGTTTGTGTGCACGGTGAGCCCACCATCATTGAACTGCTCGGTTGGAAAAGACCTTAAAGATCGCCAAGTCCAACTGCAACCTAACCATATAACCTAACCATGGTAATTAGCAGATGCTGTTCTTTAGATATCGAGTTGGAAGACTTATTAGCTGCTGAGAATACAGACTTGGCCGTAATGAGAGGCAGAATTGATCAGGAAATCACCTGGTGAAATGGTGAAAATCTGAAAGTATTTTTGGTATTGTATATTTGATATTAACTGTGGTATTGGAAAGCTGGTATGGTTGTTTGTTTCTGTTTTTCTGCTTGATCACAAGTATGGGAAAGCAATAGAGAGGGAAGTGGATTTTTTCTGTACTGTGTCATGGAGATGGAGGTTGGGTGATAAAGCAGCAGATTCTTTGGGTTATGTCTTCTGTCCAATAATGCTAGCTGGAAAGAGTGGGGGAAAAAAAAGAGAAAAAAGAATGCAGCAGCTCTAGAGTCACCTGAGCTTAGAGAGAGTTGAACGTTAGCTGCACTGTGGGAGGAAGGTGAGTTGTTCTGGGTTACTCTGTTGTTGTGTTGTGTTAGCTGTGGTTGGAGGCTTAAATGTTGTTTGCTTTTCCCTACTCTAATGCCTTTTGGTATTAAGGATGCGTGGTATCATTTCAGACTTCTCATGCTCCTGTGATGTAGAGCTAAGTGGCTTCTTTGTCCCTTTGCTCCCTTTTGCCCAGTGTGGGGATCCTGGCCTTGTCTTCTGGGTTTGCTTCTGAAACCATTTCCTTGTTGGATCTCCTCAAAGCTTACCTCGGTCCCTTACTTTCTCATTGACCTTTTGCCCTTTGTTCCCTGGAGTTCTCTCTCCTTTATTTTCCCCCTTTAAAAAAAATGACATTGTAGCCATTATTTTCCTTGTTTCTGTGGCACTCTTCCCATCTCTGTCCTTGTTCCAGGACCAGCTTCACATGTCCCAAGCTCTCATAATCCTCTTTTTCAATCTGTTGTGACAAGGGCTTGTACTTTTCATTTGAAATAAATTAATTGTCCTTTTGGGAGAAATTAATTTCTTTCCAAACTGGATAAATATTTTCTTACGGTACCCCAGTGGTGTCACTCTTACTATCTTGGATTTAATAAAGATGAAGCTCTTGCTCTCCATGGCAAACTCGTTCATGAAAAGATTGATTTTTGTTGGCTCGCTTCGTACAGCGACGAGCATCATATTGGCACTAACGAGTAATGTGCAGGCTCTGCAGCTAGTGTGCAAAATCGATCTCATAGCAACCTCAGGGGTGCTTGGTTGATTCTGGGAGAAAAGCAGCTGATGTCTCTTTCTTACAGATGTCATAAGGAGTCAGTGGGCTCACCTGCTCGGAGCTGCAGAGAGCAGAGCCGTGGTCAGGGCTCCATCACAGCATGAGGAGGAGTCCTATAGCGTGGGGAGGAAGCTTTGCTTTTTCAGCTAAGGGAATTACTGAAACATCTTGTAGCAAATATTTAATTTCTTTTGCTAGCTTCTATCTACATAGTTGGAGGCTTTCAGCCAGAATTACTTTGAGCTGTCACAACAGATGAGTGAAGTCAATGACCTTTAATTTAAATAGTGGCAATAGTTGTGTTCTCCCCCCTCTCCCCAGCCCAAAACACCCCTAGAGAAATGCCTGGAAATCAGTCTAGGAAATGGAGTGCCCAGCTTGAGTGTCAGAGCTAGGAGTGGCTTCTATCCAGTGCTTTACCTGGCCAACACTGGGCTGTGGGACTTTCCTAAAACATATGTGTGGATGGATATCTCACAATAAGGAGTGACCATTCTGAAAGGAATGGATGTTCTCCTGTGCAGCTTCTTATAAACTAATGCATTTGTGAAATGGGTGAAAGAAGCAGTGTTCAAAATGATCTAGAATTACTCATTTTAAAGAAATGAAGTTATGAAATTGTGACTGAGGACTCAGATGTAGCCTGATCTGCTTTGTTTTCTTCAGGTTTAAGAATAATATTATTATTTAGGGCTTTCTGAAATACTTTCCTTTTTGTTTTTGTCAGTCAGGGCTCTAGGGTCAGCTATGTCTTCCTTGCCTGCACTTCTTGTTATGCTGGCAGCATGCAGTATACAAGTGGATGTGCTGTTTGCAGAAATACAGGCTGCCTCCACAGAACAGAGAAGAGCAATAATTTGTTTTAATTACCATATAAACGTCTGGCTTGTTGTCTTTCACTATTTGTACAAGCACTTATTTTTCAGTAGATTGAAGTTAACATCATGTGTTTAGCATATGACCACAGTGTTTAAAGCATCCCTGATGCTTGATAGGCTTCTTTCTCCCTGTTCTCTAATCTCCATAGGGTTTTTATGTTGTTGTGACTGTTAAGCTCCATGTCCACATTTTACTTTTAACTTGTTGTCATTAGGAGATTTTGTGGATGGGTTTTGTAGGAAGTGTTTAAGAGGCAAAATGGGTGGCTTGGGAAAGGCTCAGCTGAACTGAGCTGGCACCTGGAGCAGGACAGTGGTGGCAAAGTGGTGCTGATGGAAAATACTGGTCTGAAAATAGGACAGCCTGCTGGTTGGCCATGGAATGTCCATGTCCCTGCTGGCGGGCTGCTTCCAGAAGATTCAGCCACTTATCCTTTGTTGTGCTGGTGTGGGCTGTAGTTTCACCTACAGGTTCAGGTATCCTCAGCGCTGCCTCCAGGAGAAATGCTTGCTCTTGCAGCATCCCCTCCTCAGATGCTTGTGCAACTCTTGGAACCACGTGTGGGGGGAGTGGTCAAGTTTTAACGCTCATCAAGTCTTACATGAAGGTGGAAAAGACATGAGCATAGGACCCCTCTCCAGTGGCAGTGCTGACGTGCCATCTTGCAGAGAGACAGATGGGCTATGCTGTGTCATCTCCCATTACTGGAGCTTCTGTGCCTCCTCCCTTTTCTCTCCAGCTTATTGAGTTGGCTCAACACTGGCAAAAGCAGCTCATGTCAGGGTGGATCAGCAGCCTGGATCCTTGGGCTGCCTGGTGGCTGCAGAGCCATTGCAGCCCTCGTGAGCTGTGCAGCAGGGCACGATGGCTGTGCACCACTGCAGGTTACAGGTTTGTTGAGAGGTGAGGCGCCTCTTGCAGCACCATTAGAACAGCGTGAATTTAAGTGTGCTCTGGGTAAGTTTTCTGGGACAAGGCAGTGCTAGTGTTTCCTGTTATTCTTCTTGTTAATTGAATTGTTGAACCGAATCTCAATTGTTGAGATTACAGGTATTTTGCTGCTTTTTTTTTTTTTTTTGTGGTTACTGGTGTTATGGTTGACTGCATAAGATATATAGTTAACCACAAGAAAGCGAAGTTGTCACTTCAGGAATGGAGGAAAGATGAATAAATTGTAGTGGTTACAAATCAAAGGCAATAAATTAAGTCTGTTGTGTATTTAAGTCTTAACACCTTCAGGAAATGAGGCAGCGAAGCTGCTGTAACTGAGTGTTTGATGTCAGAGGAGCCTACCTGGCACATCTCTCTTGAGAGACGTATCTCTAGGAAACTGGAAGTCGTGTGTTCTACTGGTGGAAGGGTGTTTGTGGAATTGGAGCCATCAGCTGAAACTGCAGTTTCAGTAAAAGTCTCTACTGTTGTAATTGCAGCTAGCAGCATACTGTTATGATTTTGGCTCCACAGAGATGGTATCAGGCAAGTTCCCCTTCTGTGTGCATACAGGCTACAGGGAGGCAGTAAAACATAACAGAAATGCTTGGGCTTTAGGATACAAGTAGGTAATCCAGGCTTATGTGCCAAGATTGGATTGATTTTTAGCTTGTGGGAAGGCAATCTTCTAAGTTTGTGTTTTGCTTACTTTCAGGAGTTCCAGGAGATGCTTCAGTGGCAATCTGTCTCTTACAATGCAAGTTACAAATGAAATTTAGTAACTAACAGCCCGCTCCTCACCTGATCTCCAATAGACTTCCTGTAACGCTCAGAAGAAGGGGCGAGAGGAGAAGGGCCCGAGGTCGCCATGAAGCTAAAGCAGCGAGTTGTGCTGTTGGCCATCCTCCTTGTCATCTTCATTTTCACAAAAGTTTTCCTCATTGACAACCTGGACACCTCAGCTGCCAACCGGGAGGACCAGCGCGCCTTTCACCGCATGATGGCCAGCCTGCGTGTAGAACTGGACCCCCGGCTCGACCACACCTTGCAGTCCCCGTGGGAGATCGCAGCCCAGTGGGTCGTGCCCCGCGAGGTGTACCCTGAGGAGACACCTGAGCTGGGGGCTGTTATGCATGCCATGTCAACAAAGAAAATCATCAAAGCTGACGTGGGATACAAAGGGACCCAGCTGAAAGCTTTGCTGATACTTGAAGGAGGACAGAAGGTTGTTTTCAAACCTAAGAGGTAAATATTCTCTTCAGTGGTGGAGTTAATAGCTGCCTGACTTATTTATGTTGTTGCATTTATCTACGTTACAAATTTGCAGGCAAACAGAAAGGTCATTCTGTTACTTGTGAGACAGTAGAAAGCCTTGCTGGTCTCCTGGTTACCTGAGGTTACTGAGCCAGCTGTCTCTGGCTGTACAGCTTGAAACAGCCTTTAGGAATGTTGATTAAACCTGATCGTGCTGAACATCATCTTCCTTATTCTGGAAGTGCTGTTCTGGAGCGTGGAGGGTCTTTCTTGATAACAGTCACATTAAGGTGCCATGAGGGAATGCAGTTCAGGAATAGGGAAGGAATGAAAGCTCACAGTGGTCTTAAAAGCGTATCTGGGTGTCTGGTGCAATCGTATTAAGGCTGTAAAAATGACTTGTAGGTCAGAGCAAAAACCCCTGCATTTCTTGGCTGCCAGCGTTGAGTACAGGAGGAGCAAATTAAGAATGGGCAAGCAGTGATACTTCCTTGGTGTGGCCTCTATTTATGGTGACCCGAAGGGAAATTTGACATGATGGAATGCTTATGAAATCTTGAGCCCATCTGTAAAGCTTTTTGAACTGCTTGCCCTGGGGGGAAAGGAAGGAGAAGAAAAGAAAAAGATGTAAAAATGTAAGGTAGGTGTGTCTTATGAGTCCATTGCAAATTTCAAGTGTCATCACAGAGTGATACATATCTCTCCAAAGGATATTGGATTGAGGAACATAAAGATTTTCTGTCGTGTTAATGAATGATTAGAGAACGAGGAAAAACATCTGCCCTTCACTTTTTTAGTTTGCAGCCCTGTTTCCACGTGGTCATTTACTGACCTGTGCTGGGTTTAACAGTGTGAACCTTTCACACAGGGGTGCTGGTGGCACAGCAGGCAGTGTGACCAGTGAAGGTAGTGACAAGGCATGGCATTTCTGTAGTGTTTTCTGTATAAGTGGGTGCTATAAAGAGTATCACCAAGCATTAAATTACATCCCAATAATGGAATGCCTGGGCAAGCAAGAGCAGTGACTGTTCTGCAAGAAGAACTTGTGCTTCTGGGAGTGTTTACAGGAATGCTAGGCAATTTATAGAGTGCTAGGTAATATGGCCACAGGTGAGGACAGATGGATGGCCTCGTGTTCTGTTTGCAACTGCTGAATAGCTGCTCTTGTAGGTAGTCTTGTATTGTCATTGCAAGATAGTCTGCTTAGCTAGCTTTTGGCCTGAACCGTGTATGGAAGTTACTGTGTTAAACAACCTTTTTGAGTGTGCTTACTGGCTGGAAAAGAATGGATTCTCTTGATTAGCTACCTCTGCCCTGGGAAATACTTGATGCCTACTGTGCGTGGAGGCAGGAAGTTGATTGTGTTTTGCCAATACGTTTTAGCTCTGCGGCTTCCAAAATGTGATCATGCTTTCACAAGTCTGCTGTAAGTGTATACAAAAGACCTGGCTTTGAGGCAGTGTTCTGAAGGTGGCTATCTCATTTCACAATTACTCAAAATCTAGCTTAAGTGAACAGTGATTAATGGTTGCTATCACTGCATGCCAATGGTTTTTGTAAAGTTGCTTGTTTGGAGCAACTGTCAAATTTGGAAGGAATCTCTCATATCCTTCTTCCAAAGCCTGTGTGCCATCTAGCACCGGTCAATTCTTTCTTGAGCTGCCCTGCAGAGAAGCCAAAGCATTTACTCAGGCTGATGAAATGTTGTCTGGCTCCAGAGATTTTCTCTGCATAGAGTTAAAACATCAGAGCCCTGTGGCTTCACTTCCACTGCTACTGCTTGGGCCCCAGGTCATTTGAAAAAACATCCATTTTACACAGTTAGATTCATAGGTGGAAATGAGAAAACACGTAAGATGATTTTACCTTACTTTATGTGACAGCATATTGTGTTTCACCCATTTGCTCAGTATTAATTGTGTTATTTTTTGCTTATCTGAAGAATGCTTCTTTAGCAAATCAAGGCCTGATTCAGATGATGTGAATCTCTGACATTTCTCTGCTTTGACTATTTAAGTGACTTTTTTTTTTTTAAAAGGCTGCTGTTGTGATGTGTGTTGAATTTCTATTTCTTGTTGGTAATTGTCTTTTCTCCACCAAAATAAATGGCCTTTTTATATCCTGCATTCTCAGATTCATGCTTGCTGATCCTTTAACTACTAAAGATAGCACTTGACGTTTCTGCCACAATATCAGGTTTTATTTTCATGTTCATCTACAATCCATTCTAACCCCAAAATCATTTGCAGAGATGCTGCTTTCCAATATAAGTAGGCCCCTGTTCTGTCGCTGGGTCTGTGTGCTTTGTTCTTAGACGTGGCTTGGCATATGGTTGAATTAAAACTCATTAGTTTGAACAGGCCCTGCTTCCAAGCTCTTGAGCCCACTGTAAATTACTGATCTTTCATCTTTATTTACTACTTCAATGGTTTGTACTCTATTTAAAATCATTAATAATTTTCCTTCTCCCATAGGCAGTCATTTTGAAAGTAACCCAGAGAGTGTTTAGCTTAGCACTGTTCTTGTACTTGTTACTCTGTACAGCTGAACTGATGGAAATCCTGCATGAATCATTCTTTCTTACTTCAATTACAGGTATGCTAGGGATTATGTAGTGGAAGGAGAACCGTATGCTGGCTATGACAGACACAATGCAGAAGTGGCAGCCTTCCACTTGGATAGGTATGGAACGACTGGGTTACCTGGTTTCATCATCTGTGTTAAGGGCTTTTTCAGTCCCTTGACAAATATACCTCAGATGTGAGCTGTTTCTCACCTGCCAATATGTCACATTACTTTTGGGTTAAAATGATAAGGGTTTTTTGTGAAAGTTCAAAGATCTATGCAGGTTGCTGTCATTAAAGATTTTTGTGAGGTATTTGAAAAGGAGACTGAGCACTGAAACCACTGATGCATCATATTTGAAAGAATCTCTTGTTGGATATGTACCCCTTTATTCTTGTGTTCTTCAAGAATACCTAGCAAAAGCCTCATGCCCTCAGAACTAGCATGTACGTTAGTTATTGTGGTGATGGCTACGTATTTTGGCCCAAGATGCCATTGTGTCAAAGAGGACCTGAATGGCACTGTGCAGCCCAGGGTTCTGGGCTTTCAGGTGTGAGCCTGAAGCAGCAGCAACAGGTTTTCCAAGTCTAAGTTCTGCATTTATTTACTTGTAATGCCCACATTTTCTCAAACTTGCTTATCTGTACTTGCTGCAAGTTTTTTCTTCATGCAAGTCTTCTGCTTTCAGACTGGTGCCTGTTCTTAGAGTTAATTTGTACTTATGGGACTTATTTGTTGGTTATCCATAACAAAGAAAGCCAACAAAAAACCCCACGCTACAAATCAAACCAAACCACAGCTGTTAATGAGAGACTTTGCCATTGTTGCTGCATCGATTGTCCCTGTTCAAAGGCCAGACTCCTAGACTGTGTACTTCCAAGTATGATTAAATTGGGCTTAAGCATAACATTTTATTAGGTTGCAATTCCCACAAATAGATGATTTTTGCATGTGACCAGTCCAGAGATCATATGGTTGTTGCTTGATCCTGTTCACAAGACAGACAATAGATATTTCTGGCATAAAGTCCAGTTTCTGAGATTTGGAATATGATGCATCCTGTGCTGTTCTGCTGCAAATGGTCTAATAAAGAACTGTCACTGATATCCTGTAAATTGAGTCTAACATGCAGGCACTTCAGGAAAAGGAATTTCCTTTCTTTGCCTTGGAACAGCAAGGAGGTTGCTGCAGCATTCCAACTTTATTCCCTGGTCTCAAATCATCTTGATTTCACACAACAGCACAGAGACAGACAGTGTACTGTTTGGTTATTTTTAATTCAATCTGCTGTCCGTGTTGTTCATTTTCATTCCTCATCTTGTGTTTTGCTTTTTTTTTTCCTTCCCTTTTTCCCCCAAATCAGGATTCTGGGTTTCCGACGAGCTCCACTGGTGGTTGGCAGGTTTGTGAATCTACGAACAGAGATCAAACCAGTTGCCACAGAGCAGCTTCTGGGTACCTTCATGACTGTGGGTAAGTGGATTCCATGGATTCTCCAACCCAGTAAAAAAGAATGCTTAATGGAAAAAAGAACTGTGGGATTCTGACACAGTAATAGAAGAGTTAACTATGATACAGGAAGCTGGTAAGCCTCTTTCTGTGCCAGAAGAGATCGTAATGCTTGTATAACCCCATTTGGCGGGGGAGGAGAGCCTCATTTTCTCCAAGTAGTTTTTCATCTGTAATTTCTGTATTCCCTAATGCTGCTGTTACAGATGAGGATTTTTTGAGTAAGAAATGCATTTATTTTCCCAGAAGCTGGTAGAAAATCGGTGATGAGACCTGAAAGGAAAAAAATGGAATTGTATTTAATGTGAACACAGTGGTTATTTGGGATAATTGATAGAGCAGGAGCGTTGGTTGATGTTAAATGTTGTTTGTGCCACATCAGACTCTGGTAAGCATTCATAACTGTGTCAGAACTTCTTTATGTTGTTTACTGTAATAAATCTGTGATAATGTAATAGTGCTCACTGTAGATGATTAATGTGAACTCCTGCCAGGTGGTCATTAAGCATCAAGAAGGGACTTAGAGTGCAGCCTTAACTCCTTCAGGCTCCTCATGAAATTCCTAATAGCTACTGGTTCTTTCTCGACGGGATGAATTAAGTGATGGTTGTTCATTACAGCTGATGTCTGTGTCTGTATGCATTTCTATTACAAGCACTGCTGGTAGTCTCACCTACTGAGTTAACGTAACACTTTCAATTCTAAGGTTGAACTTTCAGAAGGTTACTTTGCCTTGCCAAACCTTTTGCACTATGACTGGGTGTCTGCCACAGGCAGAATTTACTTTTTCTCGTTTCAGCCAAAATAACTAAGCAATATTCTAGCAGAAACACTGGCTTGAAAAGTATGGCTCCGCAGAATTTTCATTGCCTTTCCTTAGCTTTCTTGGAACTTGTTCTACAGAGCATAAAGCAGAGAAATGGGTGGTACCGGGGAGAAGATTGCAGCAGGGGGAGTATCTCTCACATTTGCCAAAATTTCTGAGGTTTTAAAGGAAAGGTAGCTCATGAATACTCTGCAAATTTTCTAGAATCTCTTAGAATTCTGTCTCTTGGTAGACCTGTAAGCCATGGATAGGAAGAGAGACTTACAGGCCTTTCCATGTAAATAGAGATCTGGTCTGCTGTAAGTTCAATGTTGTAAATGTCTGATGTCCTTTAGTTGTCCAGGTGAGATGCTAGGAGTGTAAGAGCCAGGTTTGAATGAACAGGGGACCACAGAAGACTGTCTGACTAAAGAATTGTGGTGTGGGATTTGAACCCATGCCTAAGGATGGAAAGTGAAAAGCACGTGTCAGTATTTGGGGAAGATGATGATTGTAGAGCTGGAGAAAGAAAGGACAGGGAGTAAGTGTGTCTCTTCCTTGTGATACCATTGTTGAAGAACGTTTTGGAAGAAGGCCTCTGAGAATGGAACTGGAATTGACTTGGCAAGATTCAAGCCAAGGTAGGCTAGGAGGATGAAACAGAAAAGGCTAAGCTAAACATGTTAATCCAGGCAAATGGATTAGTTTACCCTGCAGGCTTCAAAGCCCTTAAAGGACTGGAGACTGCAGGCTTTCATTGTTTCTCTCCTGTTAGAAGACACTCAGAAACTTCTGACACTACTGTGTTCCTGGTTCTTGCGAACAACAGCTTGTTTCCCCTGCTGAGTCAGCTCACATAGCTAGGATGTATTACAGGTCTCCAACTCCATTTGAGTTCTGCTTAGTCTTTTTTTTACTTCTTTCTTTTCGGTCAACTTTTTCAAGGAAAAAAATATTAAACAAACAGTGCTAAGGTTGCAAAGTCAAGTTCCCGAGGATTAGGAAGGGGTCATAAAAGCTTGGCGATTGCACAGTGTTGTATTATCTCTGTGTGATAAAAATACAATTTCTCTGGGAAAATACAATTACTCTTGCCTTTGAGTATAAGTCCTTAATGTTGTTTTGAATGAATGGATGTCTGTTAAATCCCTTCTGAGCCTCTCCTTCTTAGAGAGAGGAAGCATGAGGTCAAGTGCAGTGAAATGCTATTGCAACAACACGTTCCTGAATTTCCCTCAAATTAAGTTCTGCTTTTTGATTATCTTTGTTTTTTTTTTTTAAGGTAATAACACTTGCTTCTATGGAAAGTGCTACTATTGTCGGGAAACAGAACCAGCTTGTGCAGATGGGGACATCATGGAGGGGTCAGTGACTCTCTGGCTACCAGATGTCTGGCCTCTTCAGAAGCATCGGCACCCGTGGGGTAGGACTTACCGTGAGGGCAAACTTGCCAGGTATGAGACCATGATAAGGTTAATCTTTATATGTGATAATTTATTCTGGAATTGCCCTTGCAATACAACGGCCGATTAAGGAGCAGGTCTTTTCTAAACCTGGATTTTTGTCAGTGCCTTTCTTTATACAGGAGTAGAAGTCAAGAAGTCTGGGATGAGATTTAATTTAAAAGTGAGCAAGAAAGAAACCTTCATTGTTTCCCATGGTACTGAGTGCTGTCTTTTTCCTGTGTCTTGCCCTTTACATAACTCTACCATACAGTCACTCAAAGCTCTGAAGATCCAAGACTCTTGGGCCACTAAACCTGCTTTTGATATCAGTGATGTCTGGGGAGCATGCCCAGTATATAAAAATGCTTTTAGAGGAGAACAAACATGGAATCTAGTAGTCCTGTACAGTGAATGTAGTATGTTAGTGTTTAAATTGGAGTTCCGTGTATTTGCCATGGCCAGAACAGATGGAAAAGCTTACTGAGCTCCAAACCAAGTCTGTATCCATGGCAAGTGGAAAGGCTTTTAGTCTGTGTTCTAAAATTCTGGTTGAGTTGCAGTGATGTGATTGCTCTCAGAAGGAGTCTCATCCAATGGATTCGAGAATTATTTTAGGGTATTAAGTGTACAATTTGATTTCTGAGGAGCAGACATTATATCCTTTTCAACCAGTCAAAATCAACAATATTCAGGACGCTGTCAATTACAGTACTGACTGACTGATTTTCTTGGAAATGTGCTCTTTATTGAGGGACTGTTTTTTATCGTATGCTACCTGCTTATGTGGGGGTTTCCCCATGGCACTTAATATTCACTGAACTTTAAACTTGACTCATTCAGATTGTGTAGTTCTGTTGTTCTACATCTTACTGTGTTGTGCTTTTCACTTTGAGGGCATCAGGAGAATGAAACGTTCCAGATGTCTCACTCACTTTTTTTTTTCTGCTTCTGGTAATTATGAAAAAAATAACCATAGGAGTTTTCTTTCTGATCTCACTGCTTATACTCTGCCCTGAGATGGCCTCTTGAACATAATTCATATAGTGCCATTAGTCTACATAATTTTTAATGGACATGTAATAGATAAAATCTCTGACCTTCAAAGTCCTAGGCTAATTAGATACTAAGAATGAGTAATAAATGTTGGAGAAAGATCTGTCTTGAGAATTCAATGAAAAATGAGGAGAAGAGAGTATATCTCAACTTTGTTTCCAAGAGATTTAAGTGCCAATCTAAAATAAGAGAAAGAGAAACGCTTGAGGGGGAGAGAGTAGGTAGCATAAAGGAAGCGTGCGAAGCACAAGGAAGAACACGTTCTGAGGCTTTTGCCTTGTGGGTTTGTGCTGTAAACTGAATATGAGTTTGACCTGGATGCAAAAGAGAGAGAGAACTAGAGAAGTGCTAACAAAAAGCACCGAGAAAATAATTTGTTGTTGCTTTGCTTTGGATAACAGGGTAAGATGGGATATTGGAGCTTAGAGTCCAGACCTTTAGAAGGTGAGGTTGGGGTGTGTGACAGTTCTAGTTGTTAAATTCTGATCTTCTCTCAGCTTTAATTAATCTGCACATTTTTGAGCACGTCATTCTCTCCAGCTTTTGTTTCCTCCATTTGTTTCCAGTTCACAGATGGTTGAAGGCATTGCCAACTGCTATTTTGCGAAGGATGGTTTCATTCTTTACATGGAAGATGTTATAGATGTACTTGTTATTTAGATTGACAGATGGATAGGAAATATGCCAAAGATCTGGCTGATTTGGTGGTGGTGGTGAATAGCTCTGAAAACTGTAAAGAAGGAAAGGGGAAATTTAGAAACCTAGATTTGGGGAATGGAGATGTGATATTTATGTTCCAAGTCTACAGGTGTGTGCATAGGCGATGTATAGAAGAAAAGGAGAGAAAAGAGAAACTTTGAATCTTGCCAGTGGATAAGGTGAGAGATTCCAAGAGGAAAGAGGCAACTGTGAGTGAAAGAGAACGAGCATACATGGGGCCCTTCTCTTGAAGCCAGTGGAGATCATTAGTAACCATGAAGAAGTTATTTGCATTAGACAGGAAAAACAGTCAGGAGGTTGGTGGAAAGCAAGGCTGATGGAAGCAGACCATAGCAGTAGAAATAGACGTGATACTTGAAATCTGGATGAAATGAGAGCAGACCAGTCACGATGGACATCCATCCGTGCCATGAGGCAGCCCAACCACTGCTGGCTCGCAAGCAGTGAGTAAGCAAACTGACCTTTTCTGTTGGAAGATGATGTGAAACCCTTTATTAAAACTATGGCTTGCTCTGTACAGTAGAGCACTAACACAGGTTTTACTCTTCTGATAACACTTTTGTCTAGCTCTTTCTTCTTTTGGAGTCTTGATTTGCTGCACTCAACTTTTCCCTAAACACTGATGATTGGATACTGGGAGAGCTGTAAATACTTGTGGTGTGCAAGGATGGATCTTTCTCAAAGGTTTGGTTTGATTTCTCTTGATGGCCTACAGATGGGAGTATGATGAAAGCTATTGTGATGCAGTGAAGAAGACTTCACCCTACGACTCGGGCCCCCGCCTGCTGGATATCATTGACACAGCAATATTTGACTATTTAATCGGGAATGCTGACCGGCATCACTATGAGAGCTTTCAGGATGATGAAGGAGCCAGTATGCTCATCCTTCTGGATAATGCCAAAAGGTGAGAGTAAGGGAAATCCTGGTGGCCAGGCCTCGGCGGGTGTGAGGGCACACATTTATCTGCTCTCTCCGTTTTCTATCTTTCTCTCACTTATTTTTCCATTAATAATTGCTTTTGGTTTTGTTTTCCCTAAAATCCAAAGCTTGCTATCTTAGTACTCACCAAATATTAGAAACTTTCAAAGGCTATGGTACTTTGTGTTTTGCTTACGTGGGTATGATTGTTCTGGGTAAAGCCTTAATCAAACTACAGAAACTCCCAAATTAACCCAGTAGAACTTCTTTATTAAAAGCAGCTTTTAAAGGTTTGTTTGCTTCTCCTACCACAGAACCCCTCTCAGTTGTACTGTTAGGTTATAGGATTTGCTGTGTGAGTGCCATGGTATAAACAGATCCCTCTGTAACGTCACTCTGGGTGATGTAGCATTCAGTGCCTTCTGGATCTGCCTGCTATACCAATAGAAGTTTAAAATGGAGACAGAGCTGATACAGAGAGAGTAAAATATGATAGAGGAGGAAAAACCTACTTTCAGGTGTGATAACATTATTAGGAATATCATTTTTGCAGAACCACACATTTGAAAATATTTAAGGGACTTTATAAATCATTTTTTATATAAAACATTAACTGCTATCAAGACAAAAATGAAGTGTGTAGTAGTAACTGGGAGTAACTGATGGGAAGTCCTTCCTGAGGCCAACCTTTACTATTAAGTGTGTGTCTGCTCTTTCCCCATTTCATCCATTTCACTTCCAGATTATGGATTCCTTTCTTTCCCCCTTCCTATGCTTCTCATGTGTCTGAAGAGGCTGAATTGAACATTTTGTCTTTATATGTTAGCCTTTTCAGTAAGACCCCTTCAATTATGTCAGCAGGATGTGTTCTACCTTGAGATTGCTAAATTACTGTTGCTTTCAGATTGCCTGAGGTGAATTTGGCAAAAAATGGCTTTCTGTATTGCTCTGGCAGTGGGCTGGGAGGATGCTAGTTTGTTAGTCCCTGGAAGTGAATATTATAGTTGAGGGTCACGAAAAACCTTTCTTTATGGTACATGCTCATAGTATTACCGAAACACTTCTGGTGGGGCTTTACAGGCCAAGAAGTAAATTGGTTTTTTGTAAGCTTGGATAGAATTCTTTCCTCTTCTTTGAGATTAGTGTAGGGAAGCAGCTTTTTAAAGTCACTAACAACAGAATTGTTGGAGCAGAGTAGTGCCACACTCATAGGGTTAGTTATCTTTACTGAGGGAAAAGTTCTTTGTTGAAAGCAGTGTTACAAGGAGTAAAAAAAAAAGGGGGGGGGGAGCTTAGATGAAGATTAGAATACTATTGAATATTTCTGGCAGATCTCCCTTAGGAAGTGTGATCGTGAAGTGTTAAGCTTGATCACCAATTACACTGAACTGTTGAACTAAACTTGGCGGTCTAAACTGACATGTGGCTGCTGTGTCAGACAGGCAAAACTCATGCTCTGTGTCTGGAGTACTACTTACTCCTTTCCTCCACTTTACAAGATGAACTCTATTCTTCAACTCCTCTGAAGTTTGTTTCCTGAGGTTCCTTGATCTGATGAAGAGTTAGGTACACTGATGTTTCTTCCGTGTACCTGGTATGTTAGCTGACACTGAGGGTTATTTCTGTGATTGGTCATGACCTGTTTATATTCTCATTTAAATGATTTGTGCTATTGGAGTGTGAAATTGCCTAGTATTGATTTTTGAATTCTTTACAAATCTGTTGATGTTGAGAGCAACATTGTGTTCAACTCGTTTACTTTTATTTTGCTTTTCAGCTTTGGCAACCCTGCCCTGGATGAAAGAAGCATCCTAGCTCCTCTTTATCAGTGCTGCATGTAAGTGAAGCGCAGAGATGCTGTTGACTTTACTTATGCTATTGCTGTTCTTAGATTTGCAATAAAATTACATTTGAAGCTTTCTGGCAACCTGAAAATACTCAGGTACTACGATGCTTTCCAGTTTTGAAGTACTGTGTTTGTTTGATGTGTTGTCAGCGCTCAGGAGGCTGAGAAACACATTTTTATTAAGGCAGTAAATCAGGCAGTATAGGAAGCAGTCTCACCTCCAGGTCATTGGTTCAAATCTGTCCTTAGTCAGTATGGCAGGTACTTTGCATCTGCAGCTGTCTGCATCCAGCTCCTGCTGGAAGTTCACACCACAGTTACAGTTCTCCCTGATGGAAACTCATTGTGTCTGGCAACTGAACTGCCTTCATTTCCAAGTGTTATTTCTAAGCAAGACTGTAGCACTGCTCAGGGTGTGGCTTGCAAAATGGCTTTCAATTTTTGCAGGTTTTTGTTTTCAGCCTTGTAAACTGTGTTTTTTGCTCATTTTTTCTAATACCTGTGGGCAGTTGATTCCTTTTGTCCCCTCTGTCACCAGGCCACTGCTGCTTCTCATTAACAAGAAGTAGATGAAAGTACCAGGAAGAAAAGTAGTGTTATATCTGTTTCCTGCAGCTTTTACCAAGATAACATTGATCTCCCCTTAGGCCTGCCAAAATAAGCCTCTAGCTGAGAGTTCTTTGAGGCTGTTTGTGGATGGTTCTGTCTCCTGAATCCCTCATGGCCTGGGAAACCTGGAAGCTCTGCAGAAAGCCTGAGCTCTTGCCCCTGCTTGCTCCAAGCAGGGCTCTGTGTATGCTACAGCACACCTGACCTACATTCTGAAACATTTTTGCAGAAGCCATAGGGAGAACAATTAAACTAAATGCTTTTCAGATTCTTTAGTTTTCCTGTGCTAATTTTAAATGCATTTTTAGTTTCCTGTTTTATGAGAATCTTTTGGAATCTTTCATGTAGAGTCTTCAAGACACAACCAGAAGAGAAGTTTGTTTTAACAGACTTTGCAATTGCCTGCTTTTCAGATATCCCTTCTTCTGATACCAGGCACTACGCACAATACAGTGCCACTATTAGAAGCCATATACTGAATTATTTTAACTGTTGGTTTGTTATAACACTTACTTGCATTGCGTGTTTCCTTGGAGTCCATCAAAAGCAAAAGAGTTTAGACCAGTGATTCTAAAACACAAAAATGTGCTGGGAGAATCTCAGGAGATTCCTGGAGCAAACTATTTAAATGGGTTAGCATAAAAAAGTTAATGGCAATTAAAGCAGAAAGGTCACTGATGTGTTCAGTGACAGATTTGTGTCCTCTGATTAGTTGCTGATCAGTGATGTTCTTCCTGAGGTAGCATGAGTTTTGTTTTTGCATTAACAGCCAGACTATTGATTTTTTTGTTTGGAACTTTGTCCAGAAGGCCTCAAGGCTGGATAAGTTCCCTGCTAGGAGCTGAAAGTGTTCCTGTACAGCATAAGAATTATGTCCCATTAGATTCTCGCTTTTTCACTGCAAGTTTTTGAGTTACACCTAGATATATTGCCTGTGCTGCTGTTATGTCTTGACCTGCTATTCCCAAGCCATTTTTGCAGATAAAATCATGATGTGAGAAGCTCCATCAAGAAGCTGGCCTTAGTTATCGCTGATGGGACTTTACCCAGACAGTGGTATGATGACGTGTTTTGTTTTTCTTCTGCAGCATCCGGGTTTCTACCTGGAACAGACTCAATTACCTGAAGAATGGAGTACTGAAGTCTGCCTTAAAAACTGCTATGTCGCATGACCCCATCTCACCAGTGCTTTCTGACCCTCATCTGGATGCCCTAGACCAGCGGCTTCTCAGCATTCTGGCTACAGTGAAGCAGTGCACAGACCAGTTTGGGCCAGATGTTGTGCTGGTGGAAGACAGGATGACACTGTCTCATTTGTAATTCTAGTGGAACACAGAGGAAACTCCCTTTATAAGAAAGAAACAAACAAACAAAAAAAAAGAGAAAAACAGCACAATCAGTTCTGAAAGGCTGTGGCCAAGATGGACTGAAATGAACAGGAAAGCTTCCGAGCCAGAGAAACAGAGGTGATGCTGGCTTTTACCTTGGGCTGACAGCAGTGAGAGGTGGGAAGTTTGAGCCTTGCATGGCTCAGTACCTGTAAGGGCATCATGGTCATTGTGGTGTGTCCATTGCCGGCAGTGGACGTTGCACTGGATAAAAATGGCTCTTGGTGTTGGTGGAAGTGTATGGAATACAGACACTAATGTGTGGACTGATTTTTAGAGGGGACAAATGGAGATGAACAGTGTGATCCTCCTCCCTTTTCTTCCCCACGTACACTCTTGGGAGTTTTGTTCGATTCAGGGTTGTACATAATCAGCTGTGAGCTGGTTAGGTATGTTACTGCTTCTTTAGAAAATGAGGAACTGGTGAATAAAATAATTATTAGACTGAATAGTTGCACCCCTCAGGGGGTGGGATGTTCTTCGGAATGCCATTGGGGTGGGAGTGGTGACCTCTCAGCTCAATTGCCTTCAATAAAAACTGGGGAAGGGGGTTGCCTTTTGTGATAACGTTTCAGTTTTATCACTGAAGTCCTATCAAAGATTTATGCACAGGGTTGAAGACTTAGAGGAGGACAGGGTGGTTATAAGCACTTGGAGTTAAAATAAGTTCCCACGTGTCCTTCACTGTTTCCCATTTGTAAGAGACCTGGCAAGGTCTGAGTTAGGGAAACACCCCTCCAGTCCTATGTCAATATTAACCAAATCTTTATTATATTGTAGCTGAGGAGGAGAAGGACAGGGTCTGTCCTTGGAAGCAGATTCCATTTAGCGAAGCCGTGCTGCTTACTGCATGCCCTGTTTAATTTGGAGAATCTGGATGTGCCATGCTGCTGAAAAAGAGGTATATTGATGGACTTCCCAGTAACCTACAGCCATGGGAAGGGCCCTGAAGGGTGGAGAGAACCCTGAGCTCATCTCACATGGAGAGAGCTTCTTGCTGCTGTAAGCACGGCTCAGTGCTGCCGTTCTGTGGAGCACCAGCAGTTTTTCAGGCCCACCTTCTGCCTGGACTGTTTTGTGGCTTAGCTCTGAAGCTGTGAGCACTTGCAGTAAGAATTCTGCCTTGCCCAGCTGCTTCCTGCAACCCACGCTGTGCTGTGCTGACAGGAGGGCAGCCATCCTGAAGTCTTTGTTCCTGATGGTTTTGCTGTAAGGTGAGGAACCGTCTGCCAGTTGGCTTTGCAGAGCAGACAAGCAGCACTCCTCTGTGCTCGTCCTGTCATCCCTCAGCACTGTGTCAGTCTGCACTGCAGATGAGCTTGCGCACCTTGAAACTTGTCACTCTTGTGATAGGTCTGAATCTGTCTCCAGAAGGGAAACAGCTTCCATCATACTTCCAAATTTACCACCTTCACATCAATTTTCAGTTCAGACATTATGGAACTTAAAAGTAAGGAAACAGATCACTTCCTGAAGTGATTACATGTTATTGGATTTATGAGCTATAGCAGCAAAATGTCAGCTCGAGATCTTTTTCTTGATTTGTCTGTCAAAATCTTTCTAGCTCTGCAGCAGGGTGACAGGCAGATAAGATGAAGAGCTGCTTCCTGTTGCTTGCATCTGCTGCCATACCTGATCAAAGGGGTGTTAGTGAAAGAGTTTATTTTTAAAAGGAATTTAGTTTGAAGTCTTTGTACTGCCTGAGCAGAGTATCTCAGAAGCAGAATGCGACTGTTTTCCTGAAATTGGCTTTTATGTTCTTGTAGACATCTTTCAGACTTGGCCACAACACAGACTAAGGGTTGGAGCTAGAATTACTTCTTGGTGGTGCTAGTTAAGGCTAACACACAGCCAGTTTTTGGACACTGGTGTTGAACTGTTTCTTGCTGTACAGGATAATGTAACACATGCACTGCAAGCCACAATCCTTTCTGCATGTAGGCAGTGTGGGCAGTGCCTTGTGTGTCCCCTTTGCACGGAGCCAGGGGCTGATAGCTGGGTGTGAGCAGGGGCAGGAGCTGCCGAGGGCTGACCTGTCTGTCACTGCCTGCACTGCCGTGACTTGTGATGTGTGGGCAGGTGTGAGTAGTTGAGGCTGACATTGCTGGAGGTACAGTGAGCAGCAGGTGGCTAGGGAATGCTCTCATTCTGAAGCAGAAGAGGCTTACACCGAGGCATTTGGACATAGCTTGTTTCCCAAAAAGTTCAAAATGATTTACACAAAAGGGGAGACTGTAAAGCACATTATTTTTTTACTCTCTTTTTGAGCACTTAATGTTTTGGGATGGATCTACAGAAATTTGAAGTTTTGATTTGGCCACTCTTAGTCATTTATGTTTGACTTTAACAACAGATTTCAAAAAAGCATCTCTGTCTTTATGAAATGAAATTAATGTTCAGTGCTTATGCTTTGTATGTCATGGGCTTCTACACCAAAGCGTTTGCAGTCAGATTACTCTTGGGGATAAGTTTTCCATCAATATATATATCAAAGATTTAAAGCACTGTATTGGTTTAGTTGTAAGCAAAGGGCATGAAATCAAGCATCGTAATTTAGGAGTAAGCAGGAGATAGGTGCTTTCTTTTTCTCTTTTTGTATTTGTGTCATATTGATGCTTCTGATCACTATAAGCACTGCTGGAGCTTGGTGTTCTGCAGCAGGGAGGAAGAATTCCTCTCTTCCCCAAAATCAGGAAGATCCAGTTTTGGCATTGTGAGAATCTCTGGTGTTCTGGCAGCGATCACTGTTTTGTTTGAATGTGGATCTCTGAGAAATGTTAAACTCAATTGTAAGCGTTGCAAAGGAAATAAGCAGCAGCATCTACATACAAACCAGAATCTGCTTGAATCTCTGGCAGTAGTGCCACTTGTGAGGCAGGTGCTATGTTCTTAAGTCGATGAGGGTTTTGTGGCACTTCTAATTGTTGTTCACTTTGCACACTGTAATTCCTGGCTCCAGATGTTACCAAACAGTTATGTTGTGGATGTTAGTAGTAGCAGAGCGCTTGAAGCACAGAAACCAAGAACTAATTAAAAAGAAACAGCAGATGGCTGATGATGCTCTGTCTCCTCCTTCCTAAGTCAGCACTTGGGCTGGAGGAGCCCCTGAGACTTGCTCCTCTTCCAGCAGCTAGTGAACTGGAGTGTGTCTTGCCAAACAAACTTCAACTGAAAAATAATAATTTATTAAGAAGGTAATTTATTTGCTGTGGCAGCTGGAGCAAGATGCTTGAAACAGACACCCCTGTTGGAGCTGTCAGAGGATTGCCCCTGGGAGCAGCTGCACAAATGGAGGCTGCTAATAAGAAAACAGAGTGCAATCACAACTTTCTACTTGTATCCCCCAGGGTCAGGTTCTGCATAAAGGAACATTGTGTGAATAAAGATTTTAATAAAGCAGTGCTGATGGATTGTTTAAGTCTCTCTCCCAACCCGCCCCCCTCCCCTCATTCCAGCATGTACTGAGTTGAATGTTTGAATTGTTTCGCTGCTGGTGTTTCATGGTTATTCCTTCACTAATACTTATCAGTGGCATTTATTCCAGAAGTGTATTTTCAAGAGTGGGGCCATATGTGCAGCTTGGTTGGAAGAGCTAATAAGGGAAGATTGTGCTTAAGAAGAGTGTTCCCAAGCGATGCTGAACAAAACATACCTAGGCTTAAATGGTCTTTGGGAAGAAAATGGGTGGTTTTTTGTTTTTTTGTTTTGCTTTAGAAAACACATTCCAGGCCCTGCTTGTGCCAAGCATCCAGGCTGATGTCTTGGTTGTGTCCCACTAGGCTGGATTTGTTGTACAGAGCAAGGAGTGTGTGTTCATTTGGCAACAGATGCATATAGAATTGGCATGCATTTGTGGTTGGCTTCCCTGAGCTCCTATTGAAGCCCTGTTATGAGACAGGGCAAATAAACAGCTATCAAAAATCTGTTCCCACAGAGCACAGGGACTGACCTAGCTGGATCAGAGCTTGTTTTTGTAATAATAAAACAGTTGTGAGCATTTCAGGGGTAGGAGGTGATGCTCACAGCTCTCAGTGTCAGGCATCTGGAAGCAAAGGAGGCCACTGGGAGCTGCTGTGTACCTGTGACATCTGCGTGAGCTGTGCTGGCCCGTGGCTTTGGGCACAAGAGTGCCCTGAAATGGCCAAGGCACTGTGCTTGTGGAAATGCAGCACTGGTTCTGACCTGCCCTGGAGCATCAGCAGCACTGCCATGCTAAGCCACCAGAAGCTCCTACTTTTTCTTAAATTGCATTTTCTCAGCTGAAAGCTTGGAATTCAGCATTGCTGATTTCTGTAAGAACTGGTTTGGGATTTAATTGTTGTTGTTGGAAGCAGTTCTGGGATTTTCATAGCTCTCAGCATTGCATGGTGACAGTTTTTCATATCTCCTACTTCTATCTGTGAGATGTCAGTTTATTTCATGAATGGGACACAGTTCTTTGTATATAAGCAGGTCAATAACTGGTAAACATTGTAGATGCTTTTAAGTTTTGAAAGGCTGAAATAGCTCATCTTGAGAGTTTTTATGACAGCATTGTTGTAATACTCCTGTACTGTTGTGGTGCAGTTGGGCTTAGTGGTGGAAGGTTTTAAAGTGTTTCTGATTATATAATGAACACAATCTTGCAGAAGAATACACAGAGACAACTTTGAGCCAGAAAATGCTTTTGAAAACTAGCATTTTCTTGCACGTCTTTCAAGTTCTTTCTCTGCATGTTTCTAAAATGTAGAAATGGGGGGAAAAAAAAGTAGCTTCATTCTTCACGTATCCCATGTGTGGTACTCTGCTGTTTCTCCTTTGTAGTGTCAATATTTTTAGGAGGCTGGGGACAGGACTTTGTAGGAACAAATAAATTAAGGGGGACGGGGATCTCCTTTACTCCAGATCTTCCTTTTACTTAGTGATTCAAACCATAGAAGGATGGATGCTTGGTATTTTCCCATTCAGCAGATACAGCTGTAGGATAAAATCCAGATGGCAAGATTTGCTCTGAGTGCTTGCACCAAGTTGCCAGGAGTGCTGAATAAGGCAGATGTAGCTACTTTTTTTTTTTTTTTGCAGTGCTGTTCTTCCATTCTCTTTAGATGCTCTGCAGTGTAAGGCCCAGCTTGACTCAAGATCATGGATTTTTAATCAGATGGATATCGCTCACCAGGACTGCTGTGGAATAACGCAGTGAGGTGAAGTCACACATCCCAGTGTTATGCTGGGACTGGGCAAACCCCAGCAGCTGTCTTCCTCCTGTGAGAGCAGCTGAAGGCTAGCAATACTACAGCAAACCCCTGAGACTCAGCAGAGGGAGGAAAAAAGCAACGAAGTCCCAGCAAACTGCACTGGGGCACTGAGTGCTGTGCTTCCCAAGCCAGGTATGAGCCATTTGTCCACCCTTCTGCATGTTCCCATCTGGTCCTTGGGCATCACTTCCTGCCTGAGGCCCTGCAGAGGGAACTGAATTATTCAGGAAGGGTGGATTTGGGTTTTTTTTTTCCTTCATGTTACTTCATTTTCTTTTGCTTCAGTGCCTTTTTAACCTCAGAGCCTGGTCAGACAGGGTGCATGTATTTGGCAGATTACTGAACAGCGACTCTTTCCTACTCTAGCTCTTGCAGTGTGCCATGAAGGTGACATGCCAGGAACTGTGCTGTAGCACTGTGGCTGATATTGCTATGGGACAGTCGTTTTACCTTTGCTATTATATTTTTCAAATCCTTTTCTTTGGGAACATGGGAGGATCTATTTCTCTGTGTGAAGCCTCTCTCTTCTGATAGGCTCTTCTTAGCTGATGGCACTGTGGCTACAATGCTTTTAATTTTGCTTATTTTTTTTTAGTGTGCACTGATGTTAGTTCTGTTTTAGTTACAGCATCTAGTGTTAAGGTTTTAGCCTCACAAACAATTTTTTAAGCTGGAGCGATTACATTAATCAACACAGAATCTTTCTGATGCAGATTTGCAGTATTTATGGCCACCTGCAGATGGAGATGTGCTCCATGCCACGCCGTACTGGAATCCTGCTCCCCATCACCTGGATGAGAGAATTGCATTTCAGGATCCACTTCATTTTCCTGAGCACTCGAGATAAACTTGACATTCATTCATATCTGAAGCAGCACGTCTCAGCCTTATCTTGATTAGGGTAAGTTGTGGGCATCCTGATGCTCACCAACTTGTGTAGTTGTTACTTCCTTACAGTAAACCAGCAGAGGGTCCAGCCTGGGGTAGAATGCAAATTACACGTGGCTTATCCACTTCTCACCTTCCCCGCAGAGCTGAGTTTGTGCACTTGGCATGACAGCACTGACTGCTCCTCTTTTAGAGGGCAGAAGTGTGCCCTTCTCCTATTATGTCCTCCCAAAATCAAACCCAGGCTTTGCTTGGGGTCCCGGAGTCTCCTGCTTTAATGAGAGCAGGCAGCCCTAAGGCCTGGCAGCCTGCAGCTGCCCTGTGCAGCTTATTGCTTTTGCAGCTTGCTGCAGAAAACTGGTTGTTGGTGGTAATGGGTTGTACTGCTGTTCTCTGATGTGACTTCATGGTGGTTATCTGCTGATCTGAACTTTGTTGCTGGCTGCTTGTGTGGAGCCCACCCCAGCTGCTGCTGTTTGGATGCACTGGTGTGCAAAGATGCACTGATGTAAGAATTACTAAATGGAACTTTAGTGTAGATAAGGAACATGACACACACACAGCAAACCCATCCCAGAGCCAGAGACCAAAATCTTTCCTTCCAGAGCCTCGATCTGCCGACTAAACCCCAGCAGATGTCCCTAGGAGCACCTCGCAGCTGTCCTGAGTCCGTTTGTGCCCCCTCGTCATTTCTGTGCCCTTTGGAAATGACCCCGCTGAGCAACGCGGCCAGCTGCGTACTGGGAACGGCGAGCCCGGAGGGCGCTTCCCGAAGCCCCACCTCGTGTCTCTGGCATCATCTGAGCATTTGGATTTGCGTGTGTTTCATCTGCAATCACGTTTTCCTGCTAAACTCACACCCTAGCACGCCATAGGGAAAGTCAAATCCCCAGAAACAAAACCCGCCCGTGTTGAGCGCTCAGCGGCAGCTGCGCGGTGCTGCCCGGCTCGGACCGCCCGTCCCCGCGGCGTCCATCCAGCTGTGCGCACACGGCCATCCCCGGGGCCGGGTTTTGCTGCGTGCTGCTGGAGGAGGAGCCGTGCCCGGCCCAGCGGGGCAGGCCGTCCCGCTTGGGCTCAGCTGGCCGTGCCCCCGGCCCGCGTATTTCACCGCTGCAGGAAGTGAGCTCACGGCTCCGGAGGCAGGACGGGAGCCCGCGGGCGCACAGCCCGGCTGGACAGGAGATCCGCGCGGCCATGGGTCGGGGCACGCTGCTGTCTTGCCCGAGGCCAGCCTGCTATTTGCTGCTGCTGCTGCTGGGGAACTACGGGGTACTGGGGAGCAGTGGGAAGCAGCGGGGGCCGCTGGAGGAGCGCCAGAGCGATGTGACGGAGGCGGCACCGTGGGGCAGAGCGAGGTACGAGGCGGTGAAGAAGCAGCTGGGAGCCGTGGGAGCTCTCTCCAAGCAGTACTGGCAGTACCTGGCTTGCAAGGTGTGGCAGGAAGGCTGCGGGAAGGAGGAAAAGACCGGCCCAGGTAAGCTCCTTCCTCTCTCCTTGAGGAGAAGTAGTGGGGTCTGCACCCCGAGCTCTGTGGAAAGGGATTCCCCATTGCTCAGCATGTGCTGGCCTGGGGAGGGAAGTGTGCTTGTGCCCATCCTGGCTCCATCTCTGGTGCACCTGCCTGCCATGGAGCCAGCTGCAGCTCGTTATCACTCTCTCCATCTCCTTCCCTGCACCTGGGCAGGGTGGCAGTTAACTTAGGAACACCTGGGTGCCTGTGCAAAGCGCAGGAGTGAGGCTTGTCTCTGCTCTGACCTTTGCAGGCTGGACCTTGCCTCTGGTGGGCCAGGATTACCTGGAGATCCTCTCTGCCTGGTACTGCAGTTTTGGCAAGTGCTGCAAGACAGGAGACTGCCGCATCATCAACAATGTCACAGGTGGGTGCTGCTGTTTCCTTTGTTGTTGTCATTCTTCTAAAAAGCCTATTTTAGCAAGTGATGCATGTAAAAGGCATTTCTGGGGGGAGGAGGGACTGAGCCAAGTCCTGCTTCTTGTCACTCATTTGCAGTTCTTGGACTGCAAGAAAGCATGCTCTGTGCAGTGCAGTGCTGTGGTTTGCACCAGCCCTGCCTTCACCTGGCAGTTCTGGCCCCAGGGCAGCAAAGTGTCCCAGGATCTGTGTGCAAGCCCCATGCAGGTGTCACTCATTTGCCATCCCTGGAACTTCTGCTCTCTGTACAGTTTGCTGGGGGATACCTGGAAATGGTGGTACAGGAAATACTACAGAAAGGATTGGGGCTTCAGTGCCCTGTGTAGTCATCAAATGCTTCCTCCAATTTCCAAAGGGAAAAAGGAGTCAGCGGAAGATCTGTGTCTTTTTGCAGTCAGTGGCAGATATGAGCAGGGCACAGGATTTGCGAGCATCTTGCCTTGTTAACCGTGCACTATTAATGTCAGCTCAAGGTTCTCTTGAACATGAGTGCCATGAGCAGGGCCGTGTGGGCTTGGTGCTGTGCAGTGTTTTCTCATATTCCTAGCAGCAGCAACTGGGCTTCTAGGTTAAGGCTAAGCTTTTGCTGTATTTCTTTCAGGGCTAGAACTGGACCTCCATGAGCATCTCCATGGGCAGCACTTGGCCAAAGAAATTGTTATCCAGGCAGTGCGAGGGTTCTTGGAGAGCCCTCAGCCTCAGAAGGCTCTGGTCCTCTCCTTCCATGGCTGGTCTGGCACAGGCAAAAACTTTGTGGCCCGCATGGTGGCTGCTCACCTGTACCGGGATGGGCTGAAGAGTGAATGTGTCAGGGTGTTCATTGCGCTCCTCCACTTCCCCCACCACAAGTACATAGACTCCTACAAGGTGAGTGCTGGTGGTATCTTGGTGTACTGGGTCTAGCTGGGATGGAGTTGTTTGGTTTTTTTTTCATACTAGCTGTGCTGTGTTGTATTTTAGGTTTGTGAGTGAAGCAGAGCTAGTAACACTGGTGTTCTAGCTATTACTGATCTGAGTGTGCGCGCTGCTTCAAAGTTTTCTGTTTTTCCCACTCTGCCCCTCAGCTAGTAGGTTGGGGGTATACGAGGAACTGGGAAAGGGTACAAAAGGGACAACTCACCAAGGGGATGTCCCATATATCATCGTGCTCAGCAGTAAAAGCTGAGGGGAGGGTGCCTGGGGTAGGCCTGGTCCCCACGCCATCTCCTGTTGTTGGCACCTCACTCCTGCTTGCTGTTCTGCAGCTTCAGCTGGAGAAGCAGATAAGTGAGACTGTGCAGCTCTGCAAGCAGTCACTGTTCATCTTTGATGAGGCAGAGAAACTTCATTTTGGTCTCCTGGATGTCATCAAGCCCTTCATGGTTCACTCTGACAAGAGCCAGCAAGATAACCGGAGATCCATCTTCCTCTTCCTCAGGTAACTCCTGGGCTTCCAAGGACGTGGGGAGGGACAAAGCCCCTGAAAGTGTGTGGTACGAGGGGCTTGGAATGCAGAGGTGAGGGAAGAGATGCCCAGCTCTTCCGAGGGGTGATTGCCTCCATGGCCAGCTTTCCTTGCTGCTGCTGAGGAGCTGAGGCCTAGCTGAGCTAGTGCCTGGGCACCAGTGAGGTTCAGAGATAGTGTGGTGTCATTCTGCACCTTGTATGAGAGCAGGGAGACCCTACACTGCAGGGAGCACAGCCAATACTGCAGTTCCTTGTGGGACGTGGCTGTGCCATGTGGAGAGGTCCCACTTGCCTGGCCTGGTATATGGGGAAACTATATTCAGTTTCCCCCTCTGTCTGAAAGGGAATTTGTACCTTCACCTCACACCATCCAGGCAAGTGTGCTGACCTCCAAGCTCAGCGGTTCCCTAGGGAAGCTTCTTTGCTTGTAGAAGACCTGACTCTGGACCTGGTGCTACAGTGCTGACCTAATGTGTCCTGTCCACTCTGTGCAGAGTAGGCATGCTGCCAGCTGTGTGGAGCTGCCTTGGTCCACCTACCTGGCGTGCTGCACAGCCCCAGTGCCCACGTCACCCCCTTTGTGTCACCAACCAGACAGAGCAGGGCGTCTTGAACTGCAGCAGTGTGTAATCAGTCCTGAGGGGGTTTCATTATGCCTAGTGGCAGTGTGACACAGACCTGTTGTCGCAGGGCTGGCTCTGGCCCAGCCTTGTCTGGATGTGGCCTGGATTTGCAGCTGTGGCTGGGCTTGAGCAAATGGCCACCGCTCAGCCAAATGGACTAGGATGGGTATGAGCTGTGCTGGCAAGGTGGCAAAGGGAGGTGGTGATGGCTTCTTCATTTTACCTCCCCACCATCTGTGGAACGGGTCTGCAGTCTCTGACACACAAGGAAAAATAGGTATGAGACCCAAGTCCCCCACACAGAATTACAAAATCATTAGAGTTGGAAGGAACCTTTAAAGGTTGTCTGGCCCAACTCCCTTGCAGTGAACAGGGATGCCTACAGGTCAATCAGGTGCTCAGAGTCTCATCCATCCTGACTTTGGGTGTCTCCAAGGACAAGGCCTCCTCCACATCTCTGGGCAACCCCAGCTGGTTCCCAGCATCACCAATACCCTGGGGGGGAGGGCGCTCAGATCAGGGGCTGCCTTCTGAGGTGTGGGGGCTGCCCTGGGAGCCTCAATGGCTGCCTGGACCCTGCATCCCCCACCAGGAAAGGTCCATGTTCCTGCCCTTTTCTTCTCATGGGACTCCTGCTATGTACTCTGCCCTCTGGCTTGGACTTGGCAGGGGCTCACTGAGAGTTTGCTGTAGAGCCAAGTGTCACCTGAGGGGTCAGTGGCTTCCCAGACAGGGCAGGGTACTGACAGAAACAGAGGTTCTGTTGGCTCCTGGCCCCATGTGGGAGAGCAAGCGGTTGCCCCAGGCCTGGACTGACACCATTCATCTGTGTGAATGTTTCAGGTGCTGATTGGGCACAGTGATTGCTTTGCTGTACACAGAACTGCTGAGCTTTGCCTGTAGAGGAGGCTGCTGGCAGCTCTGAGCCTGGTAACATGGTGGAGTGACTTTTCTTCTGTCTGCAGCAATATTGGTGGCAGTGCCATCAATGAGGTCGCCCTGGACTTCTGGCGAGCTGGACGGGCACGGGAGGAGATCCCTGTGGAGCTCCTGGAGCAACAGCTGCAGCTGGAGATGCTGCAGCTTGCAGGTAGGAGCTGGGCTACTGCAGCAGGCAGCCTGCCTAGTCACAAACCTGCTCATGAGCACCAGGCTGGGGCTTCCTTATGAGCTTTATGCTTCAGGAACATCTGGAAAAGTGTTGACATACCCTTCCCTTCTTCCACATAACTCAGCCTAGTGAGCATGGCAGCAAGGCACATAGGAAGAGGAGCTGAGCCAATCTTGCTCCCTTTCAGCCCCAGAGCTGCCAGCTCTCAGGTGGCTGAAGCTTGCTTTGTCTTGCTTTTTGCTGCAGAGAACGGTTATGCCCGCAGCCATCTTCTTGAAGAGAACCTCGTTGATTTCTTTGTGCCATTCCTGCCTCTGGAGTACCACCACGTGAAGCTCTGCGCACGGGATGCGTTCCTGGCCCGTGGACTTCCCTACACAGAGGCAGCCCTTGATGAGGTTGCCAGGATGATGGTGTTTGTCCCCAAAGAAGAGAAGCTTTTCTCTGCACAAGGTTGTAAATCTGTATCACAGCGCATCAATTACTTCCTTCCTTGAACACCAGGTGGGACTACATCCCTGGTGAAACTGATTCTGTACACCAGGAGCTGCTCTCCTTGCACGAGGTCAGGCAAGCAGATCATTCCTGCACATGTGCAGGAACTGAACTCCATTATTACTTTGAGGGCTGCTCACAGGGAAGGCAGTGCACTCTGCCAAACCTTACAGTTGGGGTGCCTGCAGGCTGAGCTCGGCTGGGTTTTTAAGTCCACATGGTGTTTCTCACTCCCTCCTTTTACCCTGAAGCAGTGATTTGGTTGTGCTGACAGATGCTTAGTTTCATGTGAGTGGGGGTATTGCCAGTTTGTTGCCACTTAGCGAAGGCCCAGGCCAGACTGATCGAGACAAGCCATGGCCTCATCCCTGTCCACAGCTTCCTCAGTCACATACAGAAAATGACTGCTTCATCTCCACTGGAGATTTTAAACCTACAGCCTTTTGCTTTGGAGTGACCTTCTCTCTGCTCTCTTGGTCTTTGCTCCATGGAAGCAGCTGTGGGATGAGGTGAGCTCCTGCCGAAATCACTTCTCTGAGCCATTTGGTGAAGAGCGTGTTTGCTGCATTGCAGGAACTGGTTTGGGGAGAGACAGACATGGGCAAAGGGCAGCTGAGGAGGACAGTGGGTGAAAGAACAGGTTGCAGATGAATTCTGGGTTTCAGAGGTGGAATAAGATAGTTTTTCCCCCCAGTATGTTGTATGCTGTGGGGTTTTGGCTGGTATCAGCATTACTACACCAAGGGGCTGTTTGCTGTCTGGATACTTGCCAGGTGATAAGAATGGACCAAAATACTTCAACAGTGATACAAGAATCGCTTTGTGACCTCGAGGTCAAAACTCCCTTCCAACACAGCTGCTGCACGGTGAGGTGAATCAGCAGCTGCCAAGGACAGCTCAGCTACCTCATGTGCGGACCTTTGATCTATTTTAAGCTTGGAACTTCTCAGCAGTGGCAGTGATGAGCAGCACAACTCCATGGACAGGCTGAGCACTGCTCTGCAGCCTCTGAGGTTGCCGATCTAATCTAATGAGGCTGTGTGGTCCGAGGCAGGGAGGTGAGCCAGCTGCTCATCTTGCTTCTCTCTGTACAAAGTTAGTTTAAGCTTGGCTGCTGACTTGAGGCTGGACCTAAGTGCTATGCCTACTTTAATCAGGCACTGCTCAGAGCTGGTTTATGGATTGTCATTTCATCACGCACATCAGTCCTGGAAACAGCAGATGGGTGCCTGAAGGAAAGCAGCTCTTCAGTGAAGATGCAACCCTGTAGAACAGCACAGTTCAGGCTCTGCTTTACAACCAGCTGATCTGCTTGGTCACTTGTGTAAGCCAGCGTGAGGTCAGTAAGGTTTTGGTTTTTTGAGTGAGGTTTTGAGGCTTTGGGTTAGTACAGTGCAGGTTAAAAAAAATAACCTGCTTCTTAAAAAAATCAATGTCTAGGCAAGGTTTTTTTGCCAATAAAATATTGCAACCTTTATTTAAAACAAAATGCAAATTGGCAAAACTTTGTGGAACAACAGGCAAAGAGGCCCTTCCAAGGGCCTTATTTACATCAAGTTTAACACTGTTCGCAGTTCACAGTCAGACGATAGTGAGAGAATTAAATTAGAAAAACAACCAAAATATATTACAATAACAATTAAAAACAAAACAGTTGACAACACTGTAGAGTGATTGGTGATTAATGTGTTTGATTTAATCCATTCCTGCCCTCTGTGAGTTCAGTACTGATGCCTGCAGCATGCCATGCTGAGCAGGCTCTACACCCTCGTGCACAGCAGCCATGCTGGGAAGATGACCTCCTTTGGTACAGGTATATCTCATCTTGCAGGTACTGCAGATACGTCCCAGAAGCTGTCACTTCCTACTACCAGGGAATAGGCTGAGGGTTTGTTCTACACTCCAGGCCTGAGAGTACCCCAGTGCCCACGGCCTATTTACACCAGCTGCTCCCTGCTGACACCGGGCCAGTGGTGCTCGGGAGGAGCCTCTTCTGTGAGGATAAGGAACAGAGAGAACAGCCCTGTGTTCTGCATCAGGAGTGCTGCTCTGTTTAGCTCTGCTCTCCCAGCTGCAAAGTTTGATGCAGTCCTAAGACCAAAGCTCTTAATTCAGTCCTGCCAGCACTGATGAGAAGTACAGCCAGTTGTGTGCTGCCACCCAGCCAGCCAAGTGCACTGCGCCCAGGGTTAAGAAGGGCACACAGTGCAGAAAGCTGCACCTGCAGGTTGGCTGCTCCCCTGGGAGCTAGGGAGAGAAATTCCCCACACTGCCTTGCTCGGAGCTTGCCCTTACCAGGCCCCTATGGTCTGCCACAACCTGCTGCAAGATGACTGCCTTCAATTCTAGACCACAGTAGTGCAAGTTAGAGAGCCCAGCTGCATCTGCATCTTTACCACGAGGCCTTCTCACAGCAGTGAAGAAAGGAAACACAAGAGGAGGTTGTCATATCCACAAAGGCTGGATCAAGAGATGCTCTTCACTGGAAGAAGTAATGGGGCTTTGCCATCCATACAGTACTTGACACAGACTGTGTGCAAAACTGAAAGCAGAGAAGCTGCTACGGTTGAGACCTTTAAGGCTGAACAGAAAGGCAAATCTAGCAGAGGGAAAGGACCTATAACAGTGATGGGAGAGAAGCTGCCCCAACTGTTTGTGATCCTGTGAGAGCAGGTGAATTCTGCGTCTTCTAACTGCCCACAGCTGTGTCCCTGCCAACTACCTCTGTGTGGGAGGAGAAAACAGGCAACACTCAAAGAAAGCAAACGTGGGGAGGGTAGCTTTGCTGGGGCAGTTTGTTTCTTAAGCAGGGTGTGAAAGAGTTGAAAGGGGTCTGTTCTAATAATTAAAAATTCTGGGAATTGTTTGCTATTCTATCACTTTTGCAGGAGCTTTTTTGGAAGACCTACATTCAGGAAAAAATAAATTTTAAAAAGCTTCTTTTAAAATACTCAGCAGAACTGGAATAACACTTTTAAAACGTTCTGGTTAAAATACCTTTCCCCTGAGAATAACCACTTCAGTTCCAGTTGGCTTTTACTGGGCTGAAAAGCAGTACAGTGATGAAACCACACGATTGTCTGCAGGGCAAACAGGACCAGTCTTTCTGACACCAAGAAAGCTCTCATACCTTTCCACTCCTCCTGATTGTTAAGAAGGCAACATGAAGCAATGCCTTAAGATTTTTTTCCCTTTACGGGTCTGCTTTCTAAAGGCAGCTAATTTGGTGTGCAGTGATGCACATGTTCAATAAAGATGACTGAAGCAGATAAGGTAAACCACAAAAGCCCTCGGTAAAGTCTACAAGATAGCTGTTAGGTGCTCTGCCTCCCTGCTGAATAACTGCCCCAGGGACCTGCAGCTGAAGTGCAAGACCCAGAGGAGATCCAGGACAAGCTGGAAATCTTACTGCAGAATGAGACAGCAGGCTCTTCCAGGTGGGCTTGGTGCCATGAGGTAAGGATGACTAACCCACAAAGGGATCAGCTTGCCGTCTTGTAGGAACAATTAATTTACCTTAATATCTATTGACTGGGGTGGAAGGATTGTTTGTTTTTTTTTTTCATTATTTCACTCACTTTGACAGTGAAGCACACGTGGTCCATTTCACCTCGCATACTGCTCCACTGGTGCACATTCATGCAGCGTGACACACAACTTTATCTACTACAGACTAGTAAATAATATGAGGATTCTCAGACACGGGCACATTACTAAGAATGGTTCAGGCCACATCTCACCGTGCTCCATGGAAACAACAGTGGCTTGTGCCAAGAGGTCCAGCCTGCTTCTGAGCACCAACAGGGCAATGCTTGTAGGCAGACAAGGAATGCCTGAGTGCCAACCATCTGAATTCACACTTGTGCTCCAGCTCAACTCTAAATGCTCAACCTAAAAGCAGCACAGTCACGCTTTAAAAACAAGTTAAAAAAGAAAAAAAAAAAAAAAAAAAAAGATTTAAGGTGCAAAGCAAGCCAGATCCTCTGTCATCACAAACAGTGTGAAGTGAGCAGCAGCATGCAGGGTAACAGGTATTTGGATGCAGGTATCAGGCCTGTTTGCTTCTTCTCTCTAACCAACAGGTAGTTGAGGTCTCTGTACTTGCCAGTCTTGCACATGCACAGAACACCAGCTTTCTGAGGCCACAACAGTCAACAAACAGCACCAGGACGGAAAGAGACCGGCCACATGACTGCCTGCCTTCTGGGATTGTCAGTAGATCAGCAGAGACCATATTCCAGTGGAAGCTCTCCAAGCAAGGCCCTAACGCTTCTGTCACGTTTCAGGCCGAGTGCAGCTTACACAGCAGGAGATTCTGGTCCAGCTGTCAAAATCCAGAAACTAAAAAAAGATGGCTGTGACTCATGTGTTGACATACCTAGTCACCTTCACGCCCCCAGACAGTGGAAGCCTGCAAGATTGCTAAGCAAGAGCAACAAATCCCAGAAAGCTCTGTGATGTGGTTGTGCTGTGTCAGGAGGAGGGAGTGATGCAGGGAGACCTGCAGGCAGGCCACGCTGTTCTGCTGGTTCCAGCACTGCCTGCTGAAGGTAAGCAGATTGCAGCCAGGGGCTGCTGCTGGCAGAGGTTCTGCCTTGCCTCCCATGGGCCTCAAGGTGCTGAAACTGAACTGGGGAGTCAACCTGGTAACGAGTTAAAAACAATCTAGAGCTTTAAAAAGAACAACAAAACAACACCCTATCCCATTAACATTGGCAAGTTGTGCAAGAGCCCCAAACTACTCACAACCAATGACCATCAAGCAGCACTCATGCTAGACCACTAGAAATAGGAATCGACTGAGTGAAGGCAGTGTGGTGGGAAGGGGGTAATTCCAGTGGTAAGTCTGCCCAGCATTCCTGATGCCTCAGCTACAATGAAGACGAGAACATGTGGAAGATGAGGTGGACAGGAGGGAAAAGGGATAATTTCATATATTAACTAATTTTGCAGTTCTCATTACAGCAGCAACAGCACTGTGGAAGTAAGCCACTGAGGCTAGTGCATCCACCTCCAGCAGCTCTGAATACTGTCAGTGCATTAGACCTGCCCCCAGCTGCACACAGCCTGCTCCTTCAGAGCTGCCCAGCCAGGACTGCTCAGCAGCTGGTACCAGCAGAGCCCCAGGGCCCTTCCTCGCCTTGTCAGGAGCCCAAAAGCGTGTGTTAGTGCTGATGGGGTGCATCTGTACAGCCAAGGGGCCGGCAGCCACTCCAGTACTCCGGCTGCCAGACCGTCCGTCCTTCCCAGAGCGAGAACCTGCCATCGATTCTCCTGCCTGTCAAAGGGAGGAGCAAGGATCTTCCTTGCCTTGCCATACTGAGCAGACCAGACTGGCAAGGTAGGGACAAATACTTGATGTTCTGCCCCTTACAGCTTGAATCTACCCTCTCCATCCCCATTTTCTGAGATGAACTTGTAAACGTGAGAACTCAGTGATCTGAGGTACTTCACATACTCAAGTATCAGTCTTTCCTTTTGAAAGCATCAGTACAGAAAAAAGTCCCCCCCACCCCACGTTTATTTCTCTTACCCAGATTGACAGTAGCTACCTTTGCACCACATCGCTGATTTCTTGGACGCACGACAATAAGTTATTAAGGACGGGGTTTGCCCCAGGGATGCTAGCAGCTGTTGAGGACACCTGCAGTTCCTGCAGGCTGAGTTCCAGTTTGCTCACGGCTTCCCGGAAGGCAAATTTGTTGCGTGTATGCGGAATGCAGTCCACGTAGCCTGAGCAGTAATCCAACAGCTGATGCCCTGTGTCCACCAGCTGGCTGTTTGGTGTTGGCTCAGCGATGGCACTCGAGAGAAGATCGGCGCACTCCAGCAATGCTTCCTTGCTGATTTTATCTGCTGGGATTTTCTCAGTTGCCTGTTTGGTCTTTCTTAATGCTACCTTTGCGCCAGCTGTGCCATTGGCCATTTTCACTGGGGAGGTGGAAGACGACGACAGAGGCACTTGAGGTGGAGGCATCATGGGCCTCCCAGATTTCCCACTGACAGGTGCTGCTGCTGCCTTCTTACTCCCTTCGCTTGACTCCAGCCCGTGCTGTGCTCCCGCTGCATTGCTGAGCTCTTCTGCTGCATCTGAGCAGGCAGCTGGCTGCTGTAGGAGCCTCATTACTGGTGGTGGAGGTGGAGCACACTTTGGTTTTACCCGTCTGGGCCGGTCCCTGTCACCGGAAGAAGTGACCTGATGCTCAGATAAGAGCTTAAATTTATTACCCTGAGAGTCTGTGCCAATGAGCTGCACATCTGCTGGAGTGTGTTTTAGAGTGGGTGAGATTAGGACTGGCACTTTGTGGTTATGAGTGGTTGGAAGTATTGCTGCACCCTTTACTGGAGAGGACCACCCTGGTCTCTCGCCATCCTCGAGGGCCCCTTGTCGGGGGCCACTGTTCTTTTCTTTGCTTTTAGGAGTTGCTGCTAGCCCTGGAATCTCCTTTTCCTCTGAATTGGAGGGGGTTCGGAAAGGGAGAGCTGTGGCACCCCTTGGCAAGAGTTTTGCTTTTGGTCTTTCTCTGGTCAAAGCAGAACCTTCTTCAAACCTTTTGGGCAGCAGGTCATTTGCCCTCCCCGTGCTCTCATCAGGCTGAGAGGAGGTGGACACCGTCCGTTCCAGCTGGATTTTTGACCTCTGGGAATTCCTGGGTAGGGTCATTGCCATTCTGTCCTGCTCTGGAAGCCCTGAGGACATGGAAGATGTAGAGTTCGACCTTGGAAAAGGCTTTGATGCTTCCTCATTGCCAGTGGGCTTTCCTGGTCGTAGACCCAGTGTCTTTTTAATTAAGCGTGGTGTAAAGAAACCTGTGATGCCAGACCACCCACCACCAGTGCTCACACCCCCACCACTGCTGGTACCAGTGCCATCATCATTGTAGAAGGTCCTCTGCACAAAGCCCCCACCGTAGCACTTGGGTGGTGCCAGGTTTGCGTCCTGCTGTGTGGGAGCAAAAGCGAACCCATCCACGTGCTGCAAGGAAGCAACAGATGAGAAGTTACCCGTTAACTCGTATTTCTTGTGGGGCTGATTCTCCATCTCCCGGAAGGAGCTACTGCGCTTGGGAGGTGTGGGAGCATTCCTCTTCTTCATGAAGGAGCTGAAGAAGCCACCTTTTCTGTCCCTGGTGAAAGTGGTCTCTTTGGCATCCTCCAGCAGGCTGCTGGGTGACTTGTCCCTCTGCTTGTGAGGCAGTGCGGGAGACCCACTTGTTGGCTGCGTGCTTCTGATAAAACCTAGGAAGAAACAAGAATGAATCTACAAAATCTATTTCCATTTCCACCTCCCTATCCTCCAGAAGGCTGTAAGGGCCCAACTTTTAGTTACACAGGATCTGCAGAGAAAGACTGAGAAAGGATGGTGGCGCTTTTATTTCTGAGATTTCAATTTTTTTAACGTTGTGCATGCGTGACCTGTCTGTTGTCTGGGGAGGCAGTTTAGCAGAAGGTCAGGAGAAAGCGAAGCTGCTCTTTTCCCTCAGTTTCTTACCCCCTTGCTGTAGTTCTTTTCTCCTTCCCCAGATACTGCAAAGTATAAAAGAAAATCTCTTGCATTGTCAATTTCAGTTTGAAAGCTGTTATCTTAAAAATTTAGTTAAATCAAATTTAAAATTAAAAAAATGCACTGGAATTTACTAAAAGGACACTGCAAAAGCTGCTGTGTTTACTGGTTACTAGGGAATATCAGGCTGGCAAACAGCCCTCATGACACTGCTGCTCAAAGCACCAGCCTAGAATACTTGGGCTGGACGAGAGTTAACTTGAGCTTGGTGTCAGCTTATGTAAGGCTGAAGAAAGCTGGAGCCCCACATACACATTTACCACAGAACTGCTTCATGTCCCAACATTTGGGTTCTTTGTTCTGCAAACCGAGAGCAGAACCCAAAAGAATTGTGCCTGTACAGACATCATCTCAGTTGTCAAAAGTAGTTCCTTTGCCTTCTCAGGAATGAGAGTGACACCTGAACTGGGCCCAGGCTCCCACCCTGCTCTGTATCGTTCTGTCAGTGAAGAACAAGACTATGCAGGGTTCTTCCCCAAGACTCATCTCATCCCTCAGCTCCCTCAAGGAGCAAATCTGCCATCATTCAGATCTCTCCACCTCATTAATCCAGGAAGAGTACCCACAGCCCTGCCTCTCCTACCACAGTAATAATGTAAGTCCTGTAGTCAGGCTACAGACTGAAAGAAGCCAACACTATTAATCATATCTTGACTAGAATGTGAAATTTTACAAGCCATCCTGGCAGGATACTTGGTTGAAAGATCTCCAGTTGGTGGATGTTCTGTTCTCTTCTGCTTGTCTTTAAACTGGGAGCAGATCTATACCAGAACACACAGCCTCAGTGTGAGTGCCCTAGAGCTCATACCTGGTGCGGAGCTGGATGCCGAATGCTCCAGGGTATCCTGTGTTCCTTCAATGTTCTCCTTGTTCTCTGCCTGTTTCTTCAGTGTTCTTGTCTTGGAGGGAAGCATGGGCAACCGGGGCAGGTAAGGAACAATGGATGAGGAGGAGGCTGTTCTTCCAAGCTCCTCTGCTACCTCTATAAGGAGGAACAGTAAGTGGAATAGTTGGAACAAATCCAGAAGAAAATAAAATATGGATCTCTACAGCAGTCCCAGACCAGCAAGAAGACGTGACTGAGAATTCAAGTAGTTTATAAATTTAGCTTTTTGCAAATTCAGAGGTGCTTAGGGTATACCTTATTTTACAAACAGAAGTCAAACTAACTTACATCTTTGTAAATCCAGCCCAAAATGGTGATAGGATCTGCACAAGTGAGGCTCTGGTATATATCTAGTTCTTTGCTGGGTTAAGGTTGCTCAAGTGCTAAAGTTCACAATGAATGCATTTTCTTCCCTTTCTAAATAAGGTGCCTCTTGTTAGTTGCCTCAAAGCTGTGTTCTTTCTGACTCTTAGACATACGCTGCTTTGAGGCAAAACACTGCACATCTCTATTAGAAATGAAGATTTTACATTTCCTCCTCAGTATCAACACAAGGTAAGTGATTTAAAAACACTAACCAAAAAACCCTCCTGTACGGCCCCAGGTTATTGTTTGTGTAGGTCCCTTGATATGTCTGTTACAGATCCTCCCTGGTAGAATTTCATCTGGTGTGATTTTTCTGTAGTAGGGAAGTGCGTGGATTTTCATACTTGATTTCAGAATTTGAGATGCTGAAACTATTTGTGCTCCTTTGCCTAGTATCACACCTCTCCTAGCTGACCAGATTTGAAAGTTGAGTTGCATAGATTTTCTCCTAAAAGAATAGCTAAGTAGAAAATCCAGATATTGAGGCAGACTTTTTAAGTAAATGCTAATAGAGTAGTATTTCACTACACTAATTTCTGCAATCAGAAACAGAATGTGATATGCATGCATCTTTCTCTCTCCCCTCGCATCGCTCGCTATTCCTGACTCCTTTAGTCTTCCTTTAGGCTTCCTCTAGTAAAGGAGACAATATTCTTTAAACAAACTCTTTGGTATCTTGGTGGTGGAGTTAATTACTGTGCAGTCTGCACTGACGCATCTAAAGTTTATTCAGAATTTGTGCCAGGAGTAAGAGCATGTATTTACAGACATATGAATAAGAAGTAGAGGATGAAGCCTTATCACAGCCTCCACAGCAAGCAGATAAGCTTTAAGAGCCTGTGCTTAAGAGACAGCACTCTGTAGGATAAACACTACCACTGCTCAGAAACGAAACAACAGGGGCTCTCACCCTCTGAGATGCTCGAGTCGTGGAACATGGTTTCAAAAGCCTGGTGAGTCTCAGCAAAGGAAGGTCGGTCTGGTGGGTTCCACTTCCAACCTGCAGTGTGAGAAAGCAGAGTAAGTCTGTAACAGGTAGGAGATAATTTGTTATTCTGTCTTTCATTAGTAGATTAAAAATCTGTTATGCAGCGTTAGAGAGCTCTTTGTGGCAAATGCTAAGCAGCACACTTGGAGGATGAGTTTGTGCGACCGTGTCAGCTGCTTGTCTCCTGCAGAGGTGCTGTGTTTGCTAAGAACTAAATTTCCTTCTTTTTTGGTGATTCCATATTAAGAGTCCTGCTCACAAGTGACTACAATTTGCCACAAAGAGCTATCTAGCTGTAATCAGAGATGACAGTTTGAGAGTTCTTGTTCTCCGGAGACCAGACTTACTTTGACCAGGTATGTCTCAGGTGACAGGGACTTTTCCACAACAGCTAACAAAATGACATTAAGAAGTAAGGACTTAGGAACTGACCACAGATTTCTCCCACCCTTGCCAGGCTTTGTTCCCCAAACTGGAAGAAGATACTCACAGGCCCTCATCAGTTCATAAACCTTTGGAGGGCATCCCTCCGGTTGTTCCATCCGATAGCCCTTTTCCAGCAGATCATACACCTGAGAGAGATCAATGCCTGGGTACGGTGACATCCCATAGGTAGCAATTTCCCATAACAGCACCCCAAAGGCTGCAGAAGGAAGAAAATAAAATTCCTGGTCATAAGACTGCCCACATGGTATGCTGCTCTTACATTTTGGCCTTCGCTGCAGCTAGAGGCAGAACCTCTTTGCTGCAGACTCTTCAGGCCAGCCTAGGTGAAGACATTAACAATTTGTGAAGTTGTGACCTGGCATGTTCCTCCCATGTTTCTGCTCAGGCCAGAGTACACTTTACTCTCCAGGGTGGCAAATTAAAAGCCAGAATGAAACAGAATATAACAGTGAAGTGGAGTTTTCTTACCCCACACATCTGATTTGATGGAAAAGGTGTTATAGGCCAGGCTCTCAGGAGCAGTCCACTTGATTGGGAACTTGGCTCCAGCATGAGCTGTGTAGGTATCTCCAGTCATCAGCCTACTTAAGCCAAAGTCAGCCACCTTCACCACGTGGTTTTCTCCAACTAAGCAGTTCCGTGCTGCCAGGTCCCTGTATGAAGAAGAAAACACACAGGGCATTTAAACACAGTCTTGTGTTTGCAGAATTTGTCCCTTTCTGCTTCTCAGTGCCATCTTACCCACCTGTGAATGAAGTTCTTCTTCTCCAGGTACTCCATAGCAGAGGATATCTGAGTGGCCATATAGAGCAGCACAACAGCACTCACTTCCTCCCGGTTGCATTCCCGTAAATAGTCAAGCAAGTTCCCATATGGCATGTACTCTGTCACGATGTAAAAGGGGGGCTCCAGGGTACACACACCTAGCAGTGAGGAGAAGGCATGTGAATAAAGCTGCTGGTTTTTCCCTAGCCTACCAGTATGCCTGATTTAATTCCCATTTGTTGCAGTCTCTAGCAATGAGGGTTTCTCTGAAAATCCAAGCCTTTCATCTACAAGACCTGCATCAGTGCAGCCCAGCTTAAAGTTCATTGCTTCTATTTACACATCCATCCACGGATGATGAGAAACGTGTCTACTAAAGCACCACTTTTCCTATATGTTATGCATAAAGGATGTATATTATACGTATATAGACTATACACTGTTGTTTGGAGGGTTACAGAACGAAACAGGACATATCTTGAACACCCATTATTTACTTTCCTTTCCCTCTTCTCCTAAAGCTAAAGAGTGGCCAACTGGAAGTGGGTACCTGTCAGCAGCAAGACACCCAGGCTGGAATGTCACGACAGAGTAATGTGAAGCACTCCCATGTATGCTAGCTGGGTAAGGGATCAGAGCAGTGGGACCTGCTCCTAAAGCAGCATTCTCACACATTGCTCAGATTACTCCTTGCTACAGTCATTGCAGTTATGTACAAAGTATGTATGAGTGGAGGAGGAAGGCAACAGGATACTCATGTCAAATCTCTGTGAGCTCTCACTGCAGCACTGCTGAATGCGTGCTGATACCATTATCCACATACAGGAGCAAAAATGCATCTCTAATGAGAAATTGTTTTAGTCTGGAAGCAAACAGGGCTGGGTGACCTTCATCTGTGTCCATTTTTTAAATGGGTACAAAATAGATGACATTATTAAAATCCTTCACGTTCTTCACATTTCTCCTTTCATCCTAAGCTTGGCTTGACAGCTTTGCTCCCGAAGACAGCAAAAGTCCAGATGGAAATAAACACCAGTAAAAGTTTAAAATGTCTCATTAAAAATCTTTGTATATACTTTTGTAAGGCTGGCTTAACTGAGTAGAAGAGGAATCTGACTTCACTGATAACTGAATCCAGGAGAATGGCTAAAGCCAATGGTACAGTTTAACAGGAGGTTGATACTGCAAGTTTTATACAGTGCCCCAAGAGCAAAGTCATGTCACTAATATGACAATATTTGATGTTTTATTTAGAACTGGTGTCTCAGCTCAACTTTGCTATATTAAGGAGAAAGCAGTCAAAAATACCACCCCATAATCTGACCTGATTCAAAAAACTATATAAATAAACCTGCCACTCTTTTTCAACAAGATGGATTACATTTTGGCAGAAACCTGAATAAGAACAGAAAGATCAAGGTATTTCACTAACCCAGTAACTGCACTAGATTTGGGTGCTTGATTTCCTTCATCACAGCAGCTTCTTTCAAGAACTCTTCCACCTCCATGGTATCTTCCTAGACAAACACAGAAGAGAAGATTTATCTTCACGACCAAGGTCTGCTCAATGCTACACATTCTAGCTGAATGGTATCCTTATCTCTGTTCTGATGTTTTGGCTTTTACTATAGCAAAAATGTCGTAACACCCCTGAAAAGCTGGCCTGCAGCACAGCCAAATAACAGATGTACAGCCTCTGGAAAGCATTAGGTTCTACCAACTAGGTATCTACTGTGGCTGAAAAAAGGATGACTCTAAAAGTCACTTAGTTCTGCCTAGCTGTAAAAATTAAATTTGAAATCTCCCTTATTTAGGTGGGGGGGTACCTAAAATGTTAACATCCAACAGCTGTCATGTTGAAACAAATAGAAGGCTCTGAGAGAAATAAAAATGGAGAAGCTGAACTTTTCCAGAAAGATGGGAGAAGTTGTAAAACGTACTTCCAACACCTTTTATTTCTTACCGCTTCCACACCTTTTCTGAGGGAAGGGAAGTAGAAGTGGTAACCACGCCTACAGGCCTGGCTTGGACGTGCAGTTTCTGCAGGAGCCCATTGGACCAAAAGTTGTTTCTAAGCTACCTGCACTGCTGCAAGCTCAACAAGCTATCTTTGTTCTGCAAAGCTACTCTCAAAGCACGGATTTTATACAGATCAGCACGCTCCATTTTCAGATAGTCACATCATCAGGTGGTATAACTAAGGAAGTTACAATTTCCTTCTACTTATCATCAATGCTGATGCAATGATCTGATAACTCACCTTTAATGTTTTCACAGCAACGGTGAGGTTGTATTTCTTCCAGACACCAACATACACCTCGCCGTACTGCCCTCCCCCGAGTTTGTGCTTCATGGTGATGTCAGTCCGCTCCATCTCCCACTTGTCGTGGATGGGGGACACCCCATACACAGTGGGTTTATTGCACTTGGGTGCTGGGTAATGCAGAGTCGTCACCAGTCCATCTGCTACTGTGGAGTGATGGTGCACGAGTTCTGCCAGCGTGCTGAAACGGCTTTCTGCTGTCACGTACACCTGGCAGGAAGGAATCAGGAATCTGCTTAGGTAAAGGCTGCTGAGAGCTTTCAGTTATGCTGGAAAATGGATACAGTAAAAACATTCCAACAGATTTGGAAAAAAAAAAACAGAAAACAGTGATAGAACCAGGTGTTAGAGTACTTGTTCTCAGTTGTGTTGAGCAAATGAATGTTCCTCTGTGCAATTTTCACCTGCAGAAGGCAGCTAGATTTCTTTTCCCCACAGGGCTGTGCAGAAATCCTTACCTTTCCATCTGAGGTGGTGTTGATCCTGTAGTGGTAAACACGTCCCTCGTACCTGAGCGAGATGGACAGCTGCCCTGGGCTGCTCTCGCTCTCACGAACCAGGAAGCTGCCATTGATGAGGCTGCTCAACAGATACTCTGCTGCGCTGCGTGACACCGGCCCGTGATACCACGAGTGCTTCTCCAGGCTGTTCACTGGTGTGATGTAGTTGCTTGGTACCCAGCCCTGCCCATTCTTCGAACGTACCTCACTCCATTCACCATTCTGGTTGTAACCCAGGACTCGCAACTTCTCACCTACGACCCGAGAGGAAAAAAAGGAAAGTAAGCACAATATGATCTACTGGGTCTCATTAAGAGACATTCACTACCAGCTGACTAAGCCTTGTTTCGTAGCTAAACAATAAAAATCCTGCAGCAGTGACCTAACTAAACTGGTAGATGTAAAGTATTTACGAGTAAAGTTTCAGCCAAAACGCTTGACTAACTTACTGCAGTATAAACAACGAGCTCACAAAGCTTCTTGCAGTCCACATTTTAGACTAGAGAAAAGTTTTCCTTTTTTCTTGGAAGAATGAGGTCTGTCTCCATCCTGAAACCTTAAGTGGCATTTGGTTTTTTAACAATTGGGCAGATGGGCATATTCTGATGAAGAAAGGGGTGTACAAGCTCTGGAAACAAG